CTTTCTAGAAGTTTTGACTAGGAAAATCTGTCTTTTAAAAAGTTTTAAGATGTTTAATATATCCAACTCAAAAAATATTTTAATATTGGGCTGGAGAGATGATACAGCAGTTTGGAGCACTTTCTGCTGTTACAGAGGACCCAGGATTTATTCCCAGCATTCATATGGTGACTCACAATTGTCCATAACTGGTTCCAAAGGATCCGCTACCCTCTTGTGACTGCCTCAGGTACCAGGGACACACGTGGCACATGTACATGCATCCAAAATATTTATATACATAAAATAAATCTTAAAAACACTTTACAAATATTTTAATAGAACACATTTTAAATTTTTATTTTATTTTATTTTATTTTTTTAAAGATTTATTTATTATGTATACAGTGTTCTGCTTGCATGTATGCCTGCAGGCCAGAAGAGGGCACCAGATCTCATTACAGATGGTTGTGAGCCACCATGTGGTTGCTGGGAATTGAACTCAGGACCTCTAGAAGAGCAGTCAGTGCTCTTAACCTCTGAGCCATCTCTCCAGCCCCTTAATTTTTATTTTATTCTTTGATGAATATGGGTGTTTGCCCTCTTGCCTGGTGTCTGATCTTTTAACTTCTGAGTCATCTCTTCAGCCCCACTTCTGCAGTATTTTAAAAGAAAAGTACAGTCAAGTGGTGGTGGCTCATGTTTTTAATCCCAGCACTCAGGAGACAGAGGCAGGCGGATTTCTGTAAGTTTGAGGCCAGCCTGGTTTACAAAGCTAGTTCCAGGACAGCCACAGCTACACAAAGAAATCCTGTCTTGGGGGTGGGGGGGAAAAGAGCGACAGAAAGCAAGAGTGAGAGTGAGAGCAAGATACAGAAAGCTGGGTGTAATGGTGCATGCCTCCATTCCCAGCACTTGGGAACTGGAGTCAAGAGCTTTGCCATAAGTTCAAGGCCAGTCTAAAAAGAAAAAGCTTAAGAACTAGTGACAAACTGAGACGAAAGAGCTTTCAAATCAAGGAGCAGTCTTCATGGACAGCACAACTTGTCCTGCCAGCCATTTAGGTCATGCTCACAGTTGTTGATTCCTGTTATCCACACTTTGGCTGGCATTTGTCGGGGAGGAAATCCAAGGCCTTTGACCATGCTCAGTATGTGCCCTACTGCTGTGCTGCGTGTGCTCCAAGACCTATTATCAACAACCTTAAGTTGTTTTCAAACTTCTGTCTCAAACATATTTTCAGAGTTTAAACCAAAGGACAGCCCAGTTGTGCATGACATGGCTTGCCTGGCATGTGCCACATCCCTGGATCAACCTACAACACTGAAAAAAAAAAGGTTACAAACTATCACATTTGATAGCTTTGAGACTTCACAAGAAACTGTTTAAGAACAATACAGAGGTGCTGGAGAGATGGCTCAACTGTTAAGAATGCTTGCTGCTTTTGCAGAGGACTGGCATTTTATTCCCAGTACCCACATGGTGGCTTACAACCATCTATAACTCTAGTTCTAGTGTATCTGGTGTGTATGTATATATGTATACTTAGAGGCAAAAATTCACACAGTCATACACATAAAATAAAATAATCTTTTTTTTTCTTTTGGTTTTTCGAGACAGGGTTTCTCTGTGTAGTTTTGGTGCCTGTCCTGGATCTTGCTATGTAGACTGGGCTGGCCTCGAACTCACAGAAATCCACCTGGCTCTGCCTCCAAGTGCTGGAACTAAAGGCGTGTGCCACCACCACCTGGCATAAAATAATCTTTTTAAAAGAATGATATACAGATGTTTCTATTCAATGGATACTTAAGATTTTACTATATAACAAATATGAAAAATTCTGCGTCTTTAAAAGAAGAAAACTGAACAGATGTAATAATTTGGTCTTAATTAGGGTTTTATTGCTGTGAAAAGACACCATGACCATGGCAACTCTCATAAAGAAAACATTTAGCCGGGCGGTGGTGCCGCACGCCTTTAATCCCAGCATTCGGGAGACAGAGGCAGGCGGATCTCTGTGAGTTCGAGGCCAGCCTGGTCTCCAAAGTGAGTTCCAGGAAAGGCACAAAGCTACACAGAGAAACACTGTCTCGAAAAACCAAAACAAACAAACAAAAACATTTAGCTCGGTGGTGGTGGTGGTGGTGGTGGCTCATGCTTTTAACCCCAGCAGAGGCAGGTGGATCTCTGAGTTTGAGGCCAGCATGATCTACATAGTGAGTTCCAGGATAGCCAGGGTTACACAGAGAAACTCTGTCTTGAAAAAACAAACAAAAAAAGGAAACATTTAATAGAGGGCTCCCTTACAGTTTCAGAGGTTCAGTCCATTATCATCATGATGGGGAGCTTGATGGCATGCAGGCAGAAGTGGTGTTGGAGCTGAGAGTGCTACATCTTGGCTTTCAGGGAACAGGGAGTTGACTGACAGTCACCCTGAGGGGAGCTTGAGCAAAAGAGAACTCAAAGCCCACCCCATAATGACACACTTTCTTCAACAAGACTACACCTCATAATAGCGCCAATCTTTTGGGAGGGGCTTTATTGTGGAATATTACTTTAACTGGGCAAAGATGTGTTACATTTGTTTATGCTGCATTTGTTTAACGATGTATTGATGTGTTTAATTATGTAAAGATGTATTGCATTTGTTTCACCTTGCCTACCCAAGGCACCTGATTATTCTAATAAAAGCTGAACAACCAATAGCTAGGCATGAGAGGGATAGGTAGGGCTGGCAGATAGAATAAATAGGGGAAATCTAGGCTCAGAAAACGGAGAGGGAGAAGAAAATGGGGTTGGGGGAAGAGAGAGGATTTGGGGAGATGTCTGGGGCCAGAAGGCAGGCAGCCACCAGCCAGCCAGCCAGGAGAAGCAGTGAGAGTAAGATACACAGAAGGGAGCAAGGTAAAGAGCCTCAAGGCAAATGTAGATGATGAGAAACATTAATAAGAGTGAAAGCCGAGCATTCATAACTAATAATAAGTCTCCATACCATGATTTAGGAGCTAGCAGGTGGTCCTAAAAGGAAAAACCTGGTATAGGCCATTTTCTTTCGAACCACCATAAATTTCACACTAATCATGTTGTTACTATTAATCAAGTGAAGCCTTGGCTAGAAGACGTTTGAAGTAGATTTGTATTGTTATTATTTTATTCTATGTTTTTGCTCTCATGTATGACTGTGTACCACATGTATTCCTGGTGCCCAAAGAGGCCAAAGGAGTGTGTTAGAACTCCTGGGACTGAAGTTATAGCCTGTTGTGAGCCACCATGTGGATGCTGGGAATTGACCCCAGGCAAGACAGGGTTTCTCTGTGTTACGGGAGGCCAATGCTCTTAACTCCTTAGCCATCTCTCCACGATTATACTTATGTTTTCCTGTGTAAGTACGTGCGTGGGGGTGAATATAGGATTACAGCACATGTGTGGGAATCAGGACAGTCTGTGGGAGTCTGTTTTCTTCCTCCATCTTGTATATTCTAGGGATACAACTCAAGTCATTAGACTTGGCAGCAACTGCTCTTACCTGTGGAATCATCTTGCTGGCCCTTAAAATAAATGTTGTATCTAACTCCTTGATTTCAAGAAGATAAGTTCTTGAGGACTTTCATATTTTTCTAGTATCATGGCAACACATTGTGCTTGGCACCCAGTACATGATTAATCTCAAGATAGCCATCTCAGAAGTCATTCTCATTATCATATCAAAAGAAAACCAGCTCCTGCAGGTCAGCTCATACACACACACACACACACACACACACACACACACACACACACACACACACTCTCTCACAGAGTCTTAAAAAACAATATTCTACTTTTACTATATTTGGCAGCTTTAGGGCTTAATGGCAAATGTCTGTCTTCTTTTTTTAAACTGTAATCTTTCAGGGTGCTTATTTTTCAGGAATATTCTACATAAGTTTCCACAAAGTATGTACTATTCTTACAAGGTTCAATAACATGAAAAAAAATGAATCAAGTTTTATTTCACTTGAAATAAGTTTTCTCATATTTTTTACAATGAAAATTTAATTCAGTTAGTGGGTTCTTCTTAAAACTTGCAAGTATTTTTAAGCGCACTGTATGCAAGATGAGACAAGCACAGTACAACAAACTGAAACTACATTCTATTGTTATGAAATAATCTACATGCATTCCTTCTCAACAGACCAAAGTACTATTGTGCTTTTTTTCCAGAATATTGAGATGTGCAAATATTTTAAGTCAATTTTGGTGACTGACACGTTGCTTTCTTGTGTGCTTCCTTTTTTATTTGGTAATGGTTTAACTTGCAAATGTAGCTGCGTTCGACCTTGAACTAATGAGCCTCCTGCCTCTATCTGTCAAGTTCTGGGATTACAACAGGGAATGATAACCTGGCACAAACTTCTTTTTTGTAGCAGTCAAGTGTCTACGAAATCAAACAGTGGATCACTCTTGTCATTATAGTAGTTGGGAACCTGAGGCAAGAGGGCTACAAGTTGAGACCAGCCTGGGCCATATAGTGAGATCCAGTCCCCCCCAAACAAACAAACAAAAAACAACCAAACAAACAAAAACAACCAAACAAAAACCAAGCCAAAGCACCTGCCTGGAACATTCTGCCTAGGTTTGAAACCATCGTGAGAACACGCATGCACTGACAGTAGATCGCGTCCAGGGTTCCAGTTCTAGCTCTAACTAGCACTGACTTGCTCTGCGCTTGAACCTCAGTCTTCTGCTTGGACAATGGGACGGACATGGGGACTTTCTGAGTCCAATCCCACCGTCACGAAAAGCTCGCTCTGGCTCCTGCTTTCCTGTGAGGGTCACGCAGGAGGGAGGGCGGCGGTGGGGGCACCGGCCTCGCTCCTCCCCGGAGCGCGACGAACACCGGTCCGTGGTGGGCTTGGCCCTGGCGCGCTGGCGAAACGCTCCGGCCGGCCGCCGCTCCCTGCACTCTGGTTCCCGGAGCGCCTGGGGGACACAGTTGGCGGCGACACCGGAGGGGGGGCGGGTCAGGAAGTGGGGGCGCGGCAGCCGGGAGCGGGCCGGGGCGGCCGCGGCGGGGCAGACGCGGAGCTTTGGGAGACTCGGGGCCGCTCGGCAGCCGGCGGGCCACCCGGGCCTCCGCGGAGACGATGGCGAAGGAAGAAGGTGACGGCTGCAGCGCGCCAACTGCCGCGGCGGGCTCGGGAGAGGGGCCGGGGCCTGGCTGCGGGCCGCGGGGAGCGGGCCGGGCGGGGGCGCGCGCCCCCGAGTTTGCAGAGCAACCGGGCGCGCGGAGAGAATGGCCCGAAGTTTCGTCTCCGGTAGTGGGACGCCAGGTGGAGCTTAAAGTTGGGAGTGTCAGAGAGGAAGCCGGTGGGGAGTGGCGGAGCTGCGGGTCCCGAGTTGCTCCGCGCTCGAGAGCGGGACGAGGTTGGGTGGGTTCGGGTGGGAGCTTGGGGTGCAGCCTGCGAGGGCTCGGAACTGAGGCAGGGATCTGGGATGGATGCGCAGAAGCTGACGGAGTTCACTTGTGCTGTGAGGGATGATGAGTCGCAAAGGGTAGGGGCGTGCAAGGGGTTTTAGGGGACAAGGAGGCCAAAAGGACCTCTAGGGTTAAAACTGATGGACTGGAGAGAGCTCTGCACGTCCCTCAGGAGCAATGTCAAGAAAATGTTTTTTAGCCAGCAGTATTTATCCAGAGTGGATGCCCACAGTGAGAGAAAAATAGGAAGCGGCAAGATACTAAGCAGCCAGTGATAAATAGTGTAAAAAAGTATTTGTGGCACAGTAACTTCATGGTACGTGTGTGCACGAGTGAGCTCTTAGATGTCCCTCGCTTGGCTGAGCAGTTAGACGCTGCATTCTCCAGGAATACAGTTTCTTACCTTGTGTAGTGGAGTTGTGAATGTGATCGTTAGTTCATCGCATTTAGATTTTAAGCCGTTGAACCGAGGGTACAAGAAGGGAGCTTGCAGAATTCAATGGAAAGCCATTTTTCAAAAGATTATCAGAACTGTAGTGCTGACTGGGACTTGATCCTGTCCCTGAGGTCAGGATTTAATCATTTCTCCTCTTCCTGCAGTTTCATTAAAATTCACCCACATTTAAGATACCTAAAAACAGCCTCAAAACCAGGTAGTTTGTAAGGAAGAATGTAAGTCCTCGTTTCTTTAGTTTTACCTGTGGCTGCTATGTTATCATTTGAAAACCATTTTTTTTTTTTTTTTGGTAAGTTTTATTTTTGTAGTTAGCTACAAGTCTGTGTGGGAAGGTTGACAAACCAGTTTGCATGCACTAGTGAGCACATTCGAAAAAAAAAAATACACACTGCTAAAACTTGATACTGTAAATATGCAAAAATGCCATTTGGGATGTAATTATGTGTAATAGCTATAATGTCGAACTTGTTAAAAAGACTATCATTTTGTAAAAGTATTTGGCTATAAACTAAGGATTTTTGGTAATCTAAAAACGAATGTGTTTTATTTGGGACAGTTAGTGGGTGGCAGTTTTATTAAAGTATGTTGTTTCCTTCAACAAATGTTTAATTCCATGGTTAGGCCTCTCCTCCTTTAGGTGTTGGGATATAAGACAAAGAATGAATAAATATTTATTGAGATGATGCGTGTGATGATATTTACAGCAAACATGCAGGTACTTTCTTTTTACATATTTTGTATTCATTATGTTAAATTAGGCCAATCTGTATGTTTTTATTTGAATCCAGATGCTGTTTCTAGCTTTTGACCTATTCACAGGTACTTGGAACCTTTTTGTTTTCCAACTGTCTCTCAAAGTAATATTCTTCCAACATCTTTCTTGATGCAGTAGAACTTTATTGGTGCTTACATATATGCTTCCTGAAACAAACATAGGGCAAACAAAAGGAGCTGTAAGCTTTTCTCCTGGACCCTCCCTGTCTATTCTACATGCTTTGGTAGACAGTGTTAACATTTCTCCTGGACCCTCCCTGTCTGTTCTACAGGCTTTTCTTTTCTTTTTTGGTTTTTCAAGACAGGGTTTCTCTGTGTAGTTTTGGTGCCTGTCCTGGATCTTGCTCTGTAGCCTAGGCTGGCCTTGAACTCATAGAGATCTGCCTGGCTCTGCCTCCCGAGTGCTGGGACTACAGGCATGTGCCACCACCGCCTGGCCTGGCCTGGCCTGTTCTACAGGCTTTGATAGGACAGTGTTAGCGTTTCTCCTGGGCTCTGTCTGTTCTAGGTGGACATCTAGAAGCCTGTTTGTAGCTGTTAGTTCATGTGACGATGACGGGATGAGAGATTGAAGTAGCAGATTATTCTTGTGGATATGTGATCATCATTTGGTTTGGCGTTTTCTCTATAATGTAACCATTTGAAAAGGGAACTCGATCTCATCCCAGATAATGCTTTCAGCTTTGCTGTTTTTACCTCTGACCCTTGGTCAGTGTCAGCACAAACCCAGGGCCTAAGCTTTGCTGCCTAACATCACCCCCATGCCATTAGTTTCGTCTTTCTGTGTCAAGTCACATGAACAATAATAGAAAGGAAGTGAGAAATTTACATTCATTTAGTTTTTGTTTTTTAGTACCAGGCAAAAGCTTGGTTTTATTGACAAAGTTTATAAATTGGCTAAAATACATGTTCTTTTTGCCAAGTTGTACTTTTTTTTTTCCTTTTGTGAGCCATCTCTCCAGCTCCGAAACAGGGTCTTACTGTGTAGCTCAGGCTGGCCTGGAACTGGCTTTGTAGGCCTTCAACTCACAGAGATCTACCTGCCTCTGGAGCGCTGGGATTATGGTGGTGAGTCACCACACCCAGCTCAGGTTGTATTCTTTTTTTACTGGCAAATTTGTTTTGTTTTATTTTGATTTTTGTTTGTTGAGACAAGGTTTCTCTGCGTATCTCTGGCTGTTCTGGAACTTGCTTTGTAGACCAGGCTGGCCTTGAACTCAGAGAGTCGTCTGCCTCTGTCTCCCGATTGCTGGGACTAAAGGCATGTGCCACCATCACCAAGCTCTGCTGCAACAATTTAATGTAACTAAACTTGACATTAAAACTCAGGGATTTTTTTCTTTTTACTTATTTTAAAAATATTTTTCGCCGGGCGGTGGTGGTGCACGCCTTTAATCCCAGCACTCGGGAGGCAGAGGCCTGCGGATCTCTGTGAGTTCGAGGCCAGCCTGGGCTACCAAGTGAGTTCCAGGAAAGGCGCAAAACTACACAGAGAAACCCTGTCTCGAAAAACAAAAACAAAAACAAACAAAAAAAAATATTTTTCTTACAAACAAAAAAAAATTTTCTTTTATTTTTGAGACTATAATATAATTACATTACTTCCCCCTTCCCCTTTCTCCTCTAAAACCTACTATATACCCTTTCTTGTTCTCTTTCAAAGTTATGGCCTTCTTTTTGCATTAATTGTTGTTACATGCACATATATGTAGTCCTAAATATAACCTGCTCAGTCTGTGTAATATTACTTGTCTATGTGTTTTTAGGACTGACTACTTGCTGTTGAGTAACTAACTGGTGTGCTCTTCCCTGGGGTAGACTATTTCTCCCACTCAGCATTCCTTAGTTGTCTTTAGTGTTTTGTGTAGGGTTGAGGCCTGGTGGTCTTTCCCTGTCCACTTTGGCATGTCCATTATTGCTCTTTTTCTGGCAGTCATGTTGGTGAGACTGTGTGGGTGTACCCTCTGACATCCCTGGGAGACACAATGGCACAGTAAAGACCTTTATCCTCCGGCTCTTACAGTCTTTCTGCCCCCTCTTCCACAGTGTTCCCGGAGCCTTAGGTGTGGGAGTTGTTCTGTAGATGCTCCGTTGGGCCTGGCTCCACAACTCTGCGTTTTTGATTGGTTGTGGTTTTCTGTAATGGACTCTGGGGCAAAGAGACCTTTCATGGATGAGGAGTGAGGAGTACACCATGGGAATTTAGAGTGTGGTTAGGAGTGGTGGTGCCCTAAAAGGAGGTGAGACTTAGACTGTGAAACCGAACCTACTAACGTACAGTTCACTTTCTTATTACTACACTATTATTCAAAGACATTTTAGTAAGCATGAGTTAGCTTGGAATGAGTTTTAGAATGTATTTGTTTTATTCAGTTTTCACAGTAAAGCTAAAGAGTTATCTCTTTGATCAGAGTAGCTCATTCTCGTTGCTGCTGATTCCATTCTTTAGTTTCACGTTTTATAGCTTAAAGACATAACTATGGAAAAGGAAGAGAAATAAAAACCTGGGCCACATTGTTAACTTGACAGGGGCACTCTGATATTTCATAGTAGTTACTCTTTCACAAGATAATTTTAGGAAAGGAAAAAGTTATATTGTCATGTCAAATTCCTGTCTAATTTGGAGTATCTTATTTTCTTTTTTAAGATTTATTTATTATGTGTACAGTATTCTGCCTGCATGCATGCCTGCAGGCCAGAAGAGGGCACCAGATCTCATTATAAATGGTTGTGAGCCACCATGTGGTTTCTGGGAATTGAACTCAGGACCTCTGAAAGAGCAGCCAGTGCTCTTAACCTCTGAGCCATCTCTCCAGCCCCCGAGTCTCTTATTTTTTTAATTTGCAATTTAGCTTACTGGTTTAGTAACTTCTGTATTACATTTTTTAAAAATTAGAGATAGAAATGGTAAGAATTTTGGTATTAGGGCATTTTAGCTGTTCCCCTATGTATGATGGGACAGAAAACAAACACCTACATTTGTCAGCTCTGTGAGATTCTGCAGAGCTTTCAGGATTGTGCTGTGGAGAATGTGTGGCTGGGTAATAGCTCAGCAATAGAACATTTGTTTAGTATGCTCCTTTGTTCAGTCCCAAATCCTGGAAAGAAAAATGATGGTACATGCCTGTAATCACAGCATTTAGAAGGCTGAGGCAACAGGGCCAGGAGCTTGAGTCTACTCAAGAGCTTGCCTTTAAAAAGAAGAGGGGCTGGGCAGCAGTGGCGCACGCATTTAATCCCAGGATTTGGAGGGCAGAGCCAGGCGGATCTCTGAGTTCGAGACCAGCCTGGTCTACAGAGCAAGATCCAGGACAGGCACCAGAAACTACACAGAGAAACCCTGTCTGGCAAAACAAACAAACAAACAACAAACACATAAAAAAGAAGAGGGAACAGAAAAAAAAGCATACTTTTATTATGATCAATACAGTATATTTTGATCAAAAATTAACCTACAAATGATGAATTTGATAATCTTGGGTAGCTGACATAGTAAGGCAAAAGATACCCCTCAAAGTTTTGGGAAAAAATTAACTTATTTTGGAACATTTTAAAAGAACATCATTTCCGGAGAAGAATTGTAAGCTTCTTTATCAATTGGACTCTCAAAACGTGTGTGGCGGTGGTGGTAGGGAATATATGTTTGTTGTTTCCGTTCATGTATACTAATGACAGTTTGGGGAAGAGGCACAGATAGGAAAAGTTACTTCTGGCACTAATGGGTCTCATTTGACTTGTTTTAGTCACATGACTCCAACATTTTTCTCTTTATAGAATCATAGACGATATACTTGATTCCTTCAGAATCAAAGTTGTACCTTTTGTGCCAATTTATCAACCAGGGAAGCTCATTAGAGACAGGGCTTGGGGATTTCTACTGGGATCTGGCCATGTAGATAACCTTTGCTTATCACATAGCAAAGTTGGTCCATTTGAGGTATTGAAGATTGATGTACACATTGCAATAATGTCTTAAATGTTTTAAGGATCATCTGTAGAAGTGCGCCAAAGGAAAAAACCAAAGACTTCAGGAAGTCCGGAAGCCAGAGCAGAGAAGAGAAGTGGTACCCTGGTTCCTGTGAGAGCCCCGAAATGTAAGTCACATGGACTGGGTGAGTTGCCTGGGTGGTAGTACACAAGCTGGGAAAAGTAGGTTTTCATCATTGAAGCATATGAACTTTCAAAAATTACTTCCTTTTGTTGTTTGTGTTTTGAGGTGTTGAGGACTAAATCCAGGGCTTGTGCATACCAGTTAGATAAGCACTCTGCCACTGAGCATACCCTATCTTATATAAAGATATTTGGAGATTAAATTCATGCTTAACACAATTGATTTTTGCTATAGAGCAACCCCTAAACTGTATCACCTTACAGTAGACATTTATATCTTGTTTATGGTCCATGTTATGGCCATGATATGACAAACATTTATTTCTGAATTATGTTACATGTTTTAGTCACAGGTTGGCTGGTTTGGCTTCATGAACCAGGAAGGAACAGCCCTTATTTGGGACATGGTTTTGGAGGTGAAGGAAAAGAGCAGGTAGACTCACACAGTGCCCCTTGGAGGTTCTGGTCGACTGATCCTCTGTTACTTGTTCTTCTATTCATGGTCCAAGCAAGTTCTAGTCAATCCAGATGAGAGGTTACAGAAACACACCATGACTACAGGAAACAGAATGCTCGTGATCATGAGTAGAAATACATAATCTTCCATCTCTATTCATTCATTTATTTTATCACATTGTGGATCAAGCCTAGGGCTTTGAACATGTGGCTCACACTATCAATGAGCTATATCACCCTATAATCTTTCTGTAAGGAAGGAGAAAATGGTTGGGAATATTAACACAATCTTACTACATTTTATCTCTTTCCGCATAAATATTTGCCCCTGTCTCTCAGACAAAGCATACCCTCCCCTGCCCTAAGGAAGATATTTAATCTTATTTTGTCTTAGCATCAGTTTTAAAATTCAAGGTATCTTTTCTACATCAGGGCCAGGTAGGACTCATTCTGGGCTTCAGACTTATGAACTAAAAATACAGGTTATCTGCAGTATGTTACAGTCCTCAAAAACACCCATGTCCATGGTTTGCTTCAAGGACTTGCAGATCTTATAATTGTCCTTAAAGCTGTAATTTACTATAGTGAATAACACAAAATCAGCATAGGGCAAAGACCTTTTGGGTAAAGTGTGTAAGTTATTAGACACATACTTCTAAAATTCCTCTCCTAGTGGAGACATATAGGACATTCTTTATGTCTTTGGCCTTAAATGGTGGCGTTTATATTTGTGTCAATATGTGAAGCTCATTAGAGACAGCGTTCAGGATTTTTACAGGGAGTTGGTCAAGTAGGTACCTTTCACCTATCCTCTGAAAGCATAAACAACATTGTACAAATAAGGTAAGCACAGTAAACCAAACTTATCAAAGAACGGTAGAAACTCTGGAAATCAAGTTCCTGGAGGCCAGCCCAGAGCCTGCCTTGTAAGCAGTCCTGTCCTGTGGTGCTGACTCGGGCATGCCTTGCTAATTCTTTTCTGTATGTGCCCTCTCTCAATATACACCGTTAGTGTGATATTGTAAATGCCTCTGTTTGAAAGGAAGCATCTCCCAGGCTTCATCACATGTTCCATAGCAATCCGGAAATCTTGCTAAGCACTAGATCTCCTTACCCTGGGGTAGGAAATCTTTTGTGTTTTCTGTTGTATTCTTTGGGAGTTCCTTGAAGCTCATTTTTCCTTGTGGTCCTTGATTTTGTCTCCTAGAGGCTTGCCGTTCCTTATTATCTTCCTTACCTGAAGAGGGCATTAGACCTATGTTGCACATAAGGGCCAAACAGCTTTCTTTCTTTCTTTTTCTTTTTCTTTTTTTAGATTTATTTATTTATTATGTATACAGTATTCTGTCTGCAGGCCAGAAGAGGACACCAGATCTCATTACAGATGGTTGTGAGCCACCATGTGGTTGCTGGGAATTGAACTCAGGACCTCTGGAAGAGCAAACAGTGCTCTTAACCTCTGAGCCATCTCTCCAGCCCCCCAAACAGCTTTCTAAGGTTGCTTCCTGCCTATAGGAAGTTAAGGGCCCATATATATTTGCTCAAACAAGTCAAGGTGCTTTATGGTGGTGCACACCTATAATCCCAGCACTCAGGAGGCCAAGGAAGGAGGATCGAGAGAGTGCAAGGCTGACAGCAACACAGTGTCACCTTATCCCAAACAAACATACAAGCATGTTATACAGTGGCAAACATTTGATAATATTGTTGCTGTGAGTAGTTACAGTTGTTTTTTATTTTTTAAAAATAATTTATGTTTTTATTTTATGTACATTGGTGTTTTTCCTGCATGCATATCTGTATGAGGGCTTTGGATCCCCTGGAACAGGAGTTATATTTATGTGTATGAATGTTTTGTCTGAATGGATGTATGTGAACCTCATGCATGCCCTGTGACTGCTGAGACTGGAAATGTGTGTCAGATCCCCTGGGAATGGAGTTGTCAGCTGCCATGTGGGTGCTGGCCATCAAACCTCAGTCCTCTGGAAGAGCAGCCTGTGGTCTTAACCACTGAGCCATCTCTCCTGCCCTATTCTTTTATTATTAGGTGTGTATGTCTGCATGTTGGTACGTGCATATGAGTGCAGGTGTCTAGAGAGGGCAAAGGTGTCAAATCCCCTGGATCTCGAGTTACAGATAGTTGTAAGCCACAAGCAATGGGCGTTGGGAACTGAGCTGAGGTCCTCTGGGAAAGCAGCAAGTACTCTTAACCACTGAGCCATCTTTCCAGCCCCCTGCTTGGCAATATTTCATTGTTTGACTCTATCATAATTGTTTCTTTTGTTGGACATTTGGGTTGTTTTCCGTATTTAGTTACAAATGTTCATGCTGTGAATTTTGTGGATGTATATTTTTATTTCTTGTGGGCAAACCTTTTATTAACCTAAGTTTTTTCCTTTCTTTCTGTTTCTGTCTGTCTGTCTGTCTTTTTCTCTCTCCCTTTCTTCCTGTTTCTTTTTTCTAGACAGGGGTTCTCTGTGTAGCCCTTAAAGTCCTCTGTAGACCAGGCTGACCTTGAACTCAGATCGCCTGTCTCTGCCTCCTGAGTGCTGGGATTAAAGGTGTGCACTATCATACCCAGCCTTTTTTTTAGAGTCAGGTCCTCACTAAGTTGCTCTGGCTGGCCTCAAGCTCTTGAGCTCTTCTTCACCTCAGTCTCCCAAGTAACTGGACTTGAGGTTTGCAACTTTGCCTCTACCTAATGAAGCCTTTGGGAGTGCCTGTCAAAATTAAAAAGGCCTGTAGCTTTCCAACTCTCCAGGTCTTAGTTGACTTAGGAGCCTGTCTACAGGCAGATAGCCGATCTGAGAAAGCTGTTTGGCCCCTCTGAGTGTGTTGTGCTTTGGGGAAGGAAGTAAATATTTGTGGCTATGGAGACAGATGGTCAGTACTTTTTGTTATTCATTCCCAAACATGTGCTGTTTTTCCTAAAAGTGGATTACATCTCCCTTCAGTTGCCCTTCAATTGGACAGCCTCATGGAGGTAGTGTCTTTCCCTGTCCCAGTGAGAGGCAGGCCTGTGACAGGTTTGAGCCTGTGGAATGTGAGTGGAAGAGCAGTAGACTAGCGCTGAGTACAAATTGTCTGCTTTCTTGCTCTGTTCCTCTGTCATGACTAAAGGGCTCTAGCAGGCCCAAGCATGGCAAACACAGGCAGGAGCTTGGCAAACATGGCACTGACAGGTTTTGCCTTTTACCCTTCTCTCTCCCCGATAAAAACCGTTAGATTACATTCCTAAAGCTAGCCACCAAGGTCCATTCCCTTATTTGGCCACTGACTCATTCCTGAGACAAAACACCAAGGTCCAGCAATCAAAATTCATTATTTGGCTAATATGTCCAATTAGCATTTACCGGCTCACCCTAGCACGGTCTCCCCTTTCTCTCTTTAAAAACCCACTCCTGCAAAAACTCCTGCTTGCTGCGTGCTTGCTGCTGCTGCTGCTGAGGTTCGCTGTCTGCTTTTGCAGCCTCCCCACCCATGACTTGCTTCTCTGGGGTAATAAATCTTTGTGCTGAGAATTTGGTGTCTCTCTGTGCCCTGTACCACCTGCCAGGGGCCTGTCCTCCCTTACAGTGATGACAGCATGTCCCAGACAGGGAGGGATACTTCTCGTGAAGACACGAGAAGACCAAGAACAAAGCTGAGGTCTTGAATTAAGTAGTAGCCTGAATTGGAGTTGTGGTTGACTCAGAACCCATGTGTTGCTTGCGGTGGTGGTACATTCCTTTAATCCCAGCACTCAGGAGGCAAAGGCAAGTGCAAGTGGGTCTCTGGGAGTTTGAGGCCAGCCTGGTCTACAGAGTTCCAAGACAGCCAGGGCTACACAGAGAAACCCTTTGTTTTGGAAAACAAAAACAAAAGAACCCATGCATATTGAAAGTGAGAAATAAAGCTTTGCCTTGTAAGATATTGATATTTTTAGTTTTAGTTTTAGTTTTTAAGATTTATTTATTTACTATACAGTGTTCTGTCTGCATGTATGCCTGCATGCCGGAAGAGGGCACCAGATCTCATTACAGATGGTTGTGAGCCACCATGTGGTTGCTGGGAATTGAACTCTCAGGACCTCTGGAAGAGCAGCCAGTGCTCTTAACCTCTGAGCCCTTGAGGCTTTTTTTTTTTTTAATTAATAAAATCATCGTTTGTGACCTGAGAGAACCAACTTTCATTAAATGCCCTCTGACTTCCACATGCACATGGTAGCATGTACATACATAGAATTTTTTTTTTTTTTTTTTTTTTTGTTTTTTGAGACAGCGTTTCTCTGTAGTTTTATGCCTTTCCTGGAACTCACTTTGTAGACCAGGCTGGCCTTGAACTCAACAGAGATCCGCCTGGCTCTGCCTCCCGAGTGCTGGGATTAAAGGCGTGCACCACCACCACCACCACCACCACCACCACCACCACCACCACCACCACCACCACCACCACCACCGCCCGGTGAAATTTTTTTTTTTTTAAAAGATTTATTTATTTATTATGTATACAGAAGAGGGAGCCAGATCTCATTACAGATGGTTGTGAGCCACCATGTGGTTGCTGGGAATTGAACTCAGGACCTCTGGAAGAACAGTCAGTGCTCTTAACCTCTGAGCCATCTCTCCAGCCCATACATAGAAATTTTAAAAAAGGTATATAATTGAAATGTTAAGAAACAACAACAAAAACTGTCATCTGTATTACTGATACTGAAATGTATGAGATATATTTTATTTTCTATACTTGGTCAGCATTTTAAAACTGAAAGATTTATGTGATTGTGCTAGTTTATGACTGACAACTTAATTGAGAGTCCTAGCCTTTGTTGTTTGTTTACTTATTTAGAAAAAGGCCTTGCTCGGTAGCCCACAGCAGCCTAGAACCCGACTGTTTGTGCTTTGCCTGCCTTGACCTCTGTACTGCTGGATGATGGCATTACTGTCATCTTCAAACTGAATTTTTAGTCATTTATTTATTTATTCATTGTGTTTGTTTTTTGAGACAGGGTTTCTCTGTGTAGTCCTGGCTGTCCTGGAACTCCCTTTGTAGACCAGGCTGGTCTTACTCAGAGATCTGCCTGCTTCTACCTCCTGAGTGCTGGGATCAAAGGTGTGCATTTCTTTTTTAAGGGTTAGATATTAGACTGTCATTGCTCCTGTTGCTTTATATATTTATGAAAGTACACTTGTTTAACACAATAATAACAACTGGTATCTGCTGTGCTTTTAGCATGTACTAATCACTAAATGCTTTGGGAATAGGAAATATATAAGGAAATATGTGTGTGTGTATTACATATGTGTATATGATGCATATATTTGTGTTTATATATAATAATTATATATCATAATATCAGAGCTAGTAACTTGAAAGAACCAGGCATATAACTGTGATGTCAGCACCGGGAAGGTGGCAGCAAGAGGATCAAGAATTGAAGTGGAGCTTCCGCATAGTGACTTTTAGGTCAGTATAGTCTACATATGACCCTGTCAAAAAGCCTGATGAAACCAAACCAAAACCAAATTTTAAGACAGTTATATCCAGGCTGGCCGTAGTGGCTCACACCTTTAATCCCAGCACCTGGGAAGCAGAGGCGGGTGGATCTCTGTGAGTTCCAGGCTAGCCATAGTGAGTCCTTGTCTGAAAAACACCACCAATAACAACAACAACAACCCAAGCCATAAAACAGTGATATCAAAGTGGCACTAATAATTGATATATTGAACAGTTTAAAAATATTTAGAGTATTTAGGTTATTTTTTATTTAGAGATGTATATTTTATATGATAAAGAGTAACTTTTGCAAACACTGAGTTTTGTTGGCCTTTCAGTGATAGGGATTGAACCTGGGCATTGCCTATTCTAGGTAGCAGCTAACACTGTGCTAAGTCCACAGCCTTGAGATTCTTGTTTAACTGATCTAATAAATCAAAAAGTTGATTTCCCCGAAGTTGTCTGCCATTCAGTACCAGAGCAGTGGGTGTTGTGCCTTTGGGACTTTGCTTCCTGTCACAGCTGTTGTGAGACTGCATCCTCCTGTGTGCAGAGTCCAGATGTGTTCTGTGCTGAGGACTCCCATGCAGACAGTTTCATGTGCATCCTTCTAAGACAGAACCATCAAAACTCATTGAAGTATATATAATATATAAAGGCCTGTTGTTTATAGTATGTGTACAATTATTCTTGAAGGGAAAATATATCAACAGTAATTCAGAATGAGTATGTTTTTTAGATATTAGTGCATTCCTCTTGATTACTTTTAAAATCAATGGACATTTTTTTCTCATGTTTTTATTTGCTTGATTTTTTCAAGACAGGATTTCTTTCTGTAGTTCTGGTTGTCCTCTGTAGACCAGCCTGGCCTTGAACTCAGAGATCTGCCTACCTTTGACTTAACCAGTTTTCAGTGTATTGTTCTTTAATTTTAAGCATATTTGCCTTGTTGTGAAACAAATCTCTATAGTGTGTTCATCATGTAAAATAAACTTTAATTAAAACCTTTTTCTTGGGCAGGCAGTGGTGGCACACGCCTTTAATCCCAGCACTTGGGAGGCAGAGGCAGGTGAATCTCTGTGAGTTCAAGGCCTACAAAGTGAGTTCCAGGACAGCCAGTTACACAGAGAAACCCTATCTCAAAAAACCAAAAAAAAAAAAAAAAAAAAAATTTTTTTTTCTTTTTAGTGTGTGTGTGTGTGTGTGTGTGTGTGTACGTGTGTGTACATCTGAGCACGCATAGAGATCAGAGGACAACTTTTGGTAATTATTTCTCTCCTTCCACCATGTTGGTCCCAAGGATTGAACTCAGGTCATTGTGATTGGTGGCTAGTACACGTCCCCACTAAAGCTTCTCTCTGGCCCCTAGACTTTAGAACCTCTTTCCCTTGTTGGCATTTTAATTAGTGTGACACATTTGTTACAGTAATAAATCCTGATGCATTACCCTCAAATAAAGCCTATCCTTTATTCAGAGGCTCTTACTTTTTACCTTACGTCTGCTTGCTTTTGCTGCCATTTTTTTTGGACTCTGCTCTGACAGTTTCTTAGGTTTTTGTTCTGATGGCTCTGACATCCATCTGTCCTTTCCATCTCCTCTGCCTTCCTTTGCTTGTAGTGGGGATTCACCCAGGGCCTCACAGATACCCAAGCAAGCTTTCCAGGAACTGAGCTCACAGTTGCAAGAGTCCTGGACAGGTGTCCTGCAGGATGAGTTTGACATTCCTCATGCTTAGACTGGGTTATGTGTTTCGGGGAGAAACCATTGAGTTGGGATGTCATTGTAATCACTTCGTTTCAGGACCTTGAATTACTTTTTGATTATCTTCAATATTCTTTTTCAGATGTGTCGTTTCAGCGCTTTGCAAAGATATTTATTGGCTGTCTTGCAGCAGTTATTAGTGGTATGATGCATGTTTTCTACTTATCAGCATACCATGAACGGAAATTCTGGTTTTCCAACAGGCAGGTAAGAAGAAATTTGTGTAATGCGTTTCTTTGGGGGTCATGTATATATTTGGTAGGTGTAGCAAGTGCCATCTTATTTATAGGTATTAGTGAAATGTTATAGAAGCTCTTTTGAGACACAGTTACAGTATCAACCTTAAAATATGAAATAGGCTGGCGTGATGGCATATACCATTAATCTTAGCACTGGGGAGGCAGAGGTAGGCAGATCTCTGAGTTCTAGGCCAGCCTTGTCTACATAGCTAGTTCCACACTGACCAGGCCTCCATAGTGAGACCATCTCAAATAAAATGTAATAAGGTAATTTGTAAAGTAGAAATTATTAGGGTGCTCTCCTTAGATATTATCTGGGACTATTTAAGGAAAATCTGGTTCAAGTGTATGAGAACTGGCTGCAAGAGACACCAGACCAAAGAAAGACAGGCAGATCTGGGTTGCAGAGGAGATGTGGGTGGGGCTCCTGTAGAAGTGAGTTGTGGACAGTAGCAAAACAAGTGAGACCTTGAGATTGGAATCCAAAGGAAGTGGTGATAAAATGGTCAGAACATTGCTAACTTCTTTCCAACAGAAAACACTGGTTTATATCAAACTAATACCAAGGACATCAGGCACATTCGTGGTGCTAATGTAGGTAGGATATAGGTCTAAGGTTCCAGGTACCACTCTGATAGTTCCATCTGTTTATAATATGCTAAGAAACGGGGAACAGATCAGAACTACTCAGGAGAGCCATGGTCAAATCAAGCTAAATCTCTCTGGGGACTTGCAGTAAAGTGTGCTGGTATTGGTCAGCCTCTTAGTAGTTTTGGTAGCTCATATTTCAGAAATGTGGATTTCAACATTAAAATACTTGAATGTTTAGGTTATATAATTACATGCATTTAATTTTGGAATTAGATTGTATAGTTGCAATTTGGGGGTAAGGTTGAAGATGATTAACAAACACAACAGGATTTACATTTTACATTTTATTATATTTTTAAATTTGAAAATTACATTTATTAATTTGTGTGTATGTGTACGGTATGACAAGTGTCTTGATCCACTGAATCATCTAACTGGCTCCAATAACAGTATTAAGATGTTGCCTCAGGTTTAATGTTTGATTTTAAATTTTTATTTCACAGAATCCTTAATCACTCTAGTTATTTTTGAAATTTCATCATTTGACCTTGGAATAAATTTTCTCTCAAAGTTCACTTGACTATATGGAGTTTTAAAGTTTTGAGTTCACAATGCTGCTTCTTGTTTGTTTAGTTTGTCACTGCTTAATTTTGAGCAAGTGCTTAAGCTGGCTGTATGTTTTTGGACACTGATTTGTATAAAAAATGAATATGAACACTTTTTACTGAGTAATTACTGACCATGTCTGTGTATTGGTTTAGTAGCCTATACTTTTTCCTTAAAAGTCTGTATCTTAAGCTGGGCATATATCCACCTTTAATCCCAGCACTCAGGCTGAAGCAGGTGGAGCTCTGTGATTTCAAGGGCAGCCAGGTTTGCACATAAGTTACAGAACAGGCAGGACTGTACAGCAAGATCCTCTCCACAAAGAAAGAAGAGAAAAAAATAATCTCTATCATTATAGTTGTCCATGCCAAGTGTAGGGAGGAACAAGATCGTGTCTCCACAAAGAAAGAAGAGAAGAAATAATCTCTATCGTTATAGTTGTCCATGCCAAGTGTAGGAGCCCACCCAGGAGCCTCCTCTCCTTACTAACCTCCCCTCCGGTTCTGCAAGCCAGCAGTCTGGAGTGTTTAGGATCATTGTATATTATAGGCAGAACTGAGAACAGCAGAGGTTTGAAAATGTAGCAGGTGTTCTGAAGAACATATAATCACAGTAGTGTATACAGATGAAAGACATTGGCACTGAGAGCTTCTTCAAAACTGCAGAACTTCTTCAAACTTGTAGAACCTACTTAAGAATCAGTCTACATTTTAGTAAATTTATTTATTATTTTTTTTCAAGATCAAGTTTCTCCGTGTAGCCCTGGCTGTCCTGGAACTAGCTCTGTAGATCAGGCTGGCCTCAAACTGAGAGATCGCTTGCCTCTGTCTGCTGAGTGCTGGGATTAAAGGTGTGTGCCAACACTGTTCGGGCCCCAAAAATAATTTTAAAAGAAATTCATTTAGGTCTGTCTTTATTTGGACTGCTAAAACAAAATACTACAAATTGGGCTGGAAGGCCAACATAAGTCACAAGCAGATTTAGTATTTGGTGAGGACCTGCTGCTTGCCCTGTCTGTCTCTTTCTCTCTCTGCCCCGCCCCCTACTTTCTAAGACAGAATCTTACTGTGACACTGGCTGGCCAGGAACTCACAGCTCTATCAGCCTTGGCCTCCAGAGTGCTGGGATTAAAGGCGAATGCCCCCAGGCCCAGCCCAGGACCTGCTTCTTGATCCATAGGTGACCATCTCACTGTGGCAGAGGGATGAGGGAACTCTAGGGCCTCTTTCAGAAGGCTGTGTCCTCATGGCATACCCACCTTCCAAATGCCCTCTTTCAAATACTGCCTACTACTAGGGATTAAGTTTCAACATACAAGATTGATCCCTGTAGAGGCACTAACACCCAGACCACAGCAGTTTCTAAATGGGAGAGGGGTTCATTGACCTGGAAAACATTTCCTTTTGGAGACTCACAGTGGAAAACATAAAGAAACTCATAGGACTGTTAAATCTAGTTCTTTTCAAAATGTAACTACAGAACTATTGGTATTTTTTACATTTATTTAAAGGCAAAGTCTTGTTATGTAGCCCAAGCTGGCCTTGAACTCCCAGCCCTCCTGTGTGACCCTTTAATGCTAGGCTTACAGACTTGAACTCCAAACACTTAAAATTTGTATTCGTATTTATTTATTTATCTTAGCTATGTGTGCTCAGGGCAATTAGAGGACAACTTTCTCTTTCCGTCATGTGGTTTCCGGGGGTCAAACTCGGGTTATCAGGCTTGGTGGCAAGTGCTCTTACCCACTGGGCCATCTTGATGATCCCAAGACTCTTTAAGTAACACTCAGTAAAATCTTAAGAAGTTAGAACTTTGGAAAACTGCTCGTAGGGGCTTGAGAGATGGCTGATTGGTAAGAGTACATATCGCTCTTACAGAAACCAGGTTCAGTTCCTTGTACCCATATCAGGCAGCTCATGACAACCTGGCTATAGGGGGAATCGATGCCTCTGGCTTCCACAGGTACCCGAATGCACACACGAGCACATGTGTGCACACACACACAAACACACACATACACATAATTAAAAATAATAAAAAATAATTTAAAAAATGGTTCTAGTAGCATTGTTTTTGTTTGTTTTTTAAAGGTTTATTTATTTGTTATGTATGCATGCATGCAAGAAGAGGGCGCCAGATCTCATTACAGATGGTTGTGAGCCACCATGTGGGTGCTGGGAATTGAACTCAGGACCTCTGGAAGAGCAGCCAGTGCTCTTAACCGCTGAGCCATCTCTCAAGCTCCCCTGTTTTTGTATTAGTAGATAAATACAGGTTGAGTATCCCTTATCCAGAGTACCATGGACCAAAGTGTTTGAGACTTGGGTATTTTTTTAAATTTAAAATTTTTTAAAATTTTGCAATATTTGTGTATACATAATGTGACATCTTGGGAAGGGGTTCTAAGCCTCAGCACAAAATCCCTGTGTCTTACAGTTTCTTACTTGTAGTCTGGAGGTGTTCTTGCATTTCTGTTGTGCTAGCCTCTTTACTGTTCTTCCAGGAGGTCAGGGTAGAACATTTTTCATTTGCACCACACACACAAGTTTTAGATTTTGGAACATTTAAGATTTCAAATTTTTGGGGTTGGGGATTTAGCTCAGTGGTAGAGCGCTTGCCTAGAAGGCCCTGGGTTCAGTCCTCAGCTCTGGAAAAAAAAAAAAAAAGATTTCAAATTTTGGAGCTGGGTATGGTTGTGCACACTTTGAATCCCAGCACTCGGAGGTAGAGGCAGGCGGATCTCTGTGAGTTCGAGGCCAGCCTGGGCTACACAGAGAAACCCTGTCTTGAAAAACTAAAAAAAAATCAGATTTTGAAGTATTCCAACTTAATCTATATTATGTGTGAAAATAGCTTGATTTTAGAAATGATCTGCTCAGGGCTGGGGTTATAGTGCAGTGTTAGAGCTCTTGCAAGGCCTAGGGTTTGACTTCAGTACAGGAGGACTGTGGTGGAACAAAAAGATTGGCTTAGCATTAAAGAATACAGACAATTCTGATGGTGCTTGTTTGTTTGAGATGAGGTCTCACTGTGTATTTTCTGGTTAACCTGGAGCTTGCTAGCAGATCAAGCTTGCCTCAACAGAGATCTGCCTGCCTTAGCCTCTAGAGTGCTAGAATTAAATAAAGGTGTGAGATACCACACCTGGCTTTTACCCTTCTGTTTTTTTGTTTTGTTTGTCTGAGTGCTTTATCTGCATGTATGCCTGCATGTCAGAAGAGGGCATCAGATCCCATTTTAGATGGTTGTGAGCCACCATGTGGGTGCTGGAAATTGAACCTGGGTCTTCTGGAAGAGCAGCCAGTGCTCTTAACCACTGAGGCATCTCTCCAGCCCTTATCATTATGTATGCTTTTAATTACTATATTTTTTTTTGGTTCTTTATAGTTGAATCTTAGGCTTCTTTTCTTTCTGATGTGGTGATTGAACCTGCAAGCCCTCCACCATGGAGCTACATGTCCAGCCCCTTAGCATTGTGAATCTCGCTTACCTGAAAAACACTGATTGAGACTCTGTGGTTCCTCAAATGTACCTGTTAAGGCCTCACTCTTCTCAGTATTTAAGGTTATATATAGTCACAGAAAACACTGCTTTCAGTGTAAATTTATCTTATCTTGGACTTTTTGTTTTTAAAGTCATTTACACTTTTTGATACAGAGTCACACCATGTAGCTCAGGCTGGTCTGGAACTTACCATGTAGCTCAAGCTGGTCTCAAAGTTGATCCTCCTGCCTCCACCTCCTGAGTGCTAGGACTGTGGCTGACTTTTATTTTAGAGTCTGACACTTCAATTTATTGTCATTACCTTTTTACTATTATTGCTGTTTTTTAGGATATTCTTTGGGTTTTCCTTCTAGAATTTCCTTATATGTAACATTTCCTTATATGATATATCAATTATAATTCATTTGAAACCTTAAGTGTTTTCACTAAGATGATTGCCAGACTATTGAGAAATTCAATCTATTAATATGGTAATTAAGGAAAATTCAAATATCTCTTTGAATAAACTGGTGAATCTTTGTCATGTCAATTTAAAATATGAAGGAGACAAGCAAACGGAACCCAAGAAGGTGAGGGCGAAGGAAGAGTACAGCTGACATTTAACCCTGACATTTCACTACTTATCTCATTGTAGGAACTTGAACGAGAAATCACATTTCAGGGAGACAGTGCTATTTATTACTCCTATTATAAAGACATGTTAAAGGCGCCTTCATTTGAAAGAGGTATGACCCACTGCAGCTGTGATTGTAGTAATAGTGTTGTTCTAAAATCAAACACTCTTCTTAAAGGTGAAGAGCTTTAGGATGTGGGGATTGGTCTCAGAATGTAGCTTATTTTTCTTTATGTCCATGATAAGAAAGTTGGGAAATGAGGCAGCTCGTGCTGCCTTTGAGTGCCTTTCTGTCTGTATTAATTGTGGTGACTAATGAGTAATGTGTCGGATTGTCAGAGCCGAGCAGTAACCTGCAGAGAAATCTTTGTATATTTAGGTGTTTACGAGCTGACGCACAATAACAAGACCGTCTCCCTGAAGACTATCAATGCTGTGCAGCAGATGTCTCTGTATCCAGAGCTTATTGCCAGTGTTCTCTATCAAGCAACTGGGAGCAATGTATGCATTTCTTTTGTATTTTATTATTTTTAGTTTAGATTTATTTCATATGTGTGAGTGTTTTGTTTGCATGTCTGTATGTGCAGCACATGTGTGCTTGGTATCCTCAGGGTTCAGAGGGCATCAGATCATCTAGAACAGTGGTTCTCAACCTGTAGGTCCCAACCCCTTTGGAGGCCACATATCAGATATCCTGCATATCAGATATTTACATTATGATTCATAACAGTAGCAAATTTGCAGCTATGAAGTGACAGCAAATTAATTTTATGGTTGGAGGTCACCACGACATGAGAAACTGTATTAAAGGGTTGCAGCATTAGGAAGATTGAGAACCACTGGTCTAGAAGTTACAGGTGGTTGTGAGTCACCTTGTGGACTCTGGAAATTGAACTGAGGTCCTCTGCAAGAAGAAAAACTGCTCTTAATCACTGAACTCTCTTTCTAGACCTCTTTTCCACTTTATTGCCCGTTTTCTTACATAGTTATGTATCCTCGGGTTGTTTAACATCATCCTCTTTATCATTCTTTTCTTTTTGCCTTTAGGAAGTGATTGAACCAGTATATTTCTACATTGGCATTGTTTTTGGATTACAAGGAATATATGTTACAGCTTTATTTGTTACAAGTTGGCTTATGAGTGGCACATGGCTAGCAGGAATGCTTACTGTTGCGTGGTTCCTAATTAATAGGTATGAGAGGTTTTTTTATTGATATTTACAAAATTTTGTTCCAAAAATATTCCCATCCTTACAATTTTCAGCTATAATCTGCAAAACTATTGATTGTTATGCTGCATGGTACAGTTTAGGTACGATTCCCCTCAGGAATAGATATCTGATCACTTTCAAAGCAGGTCTGGGAGCCTGCTGGTAGTGACACACATCTTTAATCTCAGCACTTGGAAGGCACAGGTAGAGCTCTGTGAGTTCAAGGCCAGCCTGGTCTACAAAGCAAGTTACAGGACAGCCAGGACTGTTACACAGAGAAACCCAAAAACCAGGTCTGGGAAGATGGTCCAGTGGTTAAAGCATTTGCTGTACAGCATGGGAACTAGAGTTTGGATTCCCAGAACCTATGTAAATGCTGGGTGGATGTGGGGCTGCCTATAACTCCAGCTCTCAGAAGTCCCCCCAGAGCAAGTTGGTCAGCCTGTCTTGTCATATTGGCAAGTTCTCCACTGATCACAAGACCCTACCTCAGTGAGTAAGGTGGAGCACAGTCGAGGGAGGGAGAGTACTGGTCAACCCCAGGCCTCTTTACACATGGTTACACATGTGCTCCCATGCACATGACAGCACACACAGGTGTATGCATGAGGGTAAAATAAAGCAGAGAGCTTTCTCTAGCTGAGAGAAGTGATGACATTAAAGAGATTCATAGATGAGTAGGAGTCACTGGGCCACAGCTGGCGTGAAGTGAAGAGAAAACGAATCCTGTAAGCATGTAGTGAGCATGTGAGAAGACTGCTTGCTGCTAAGCCTGATGACCTGAGTTTGATCACTGGGACCATATGGTGGGCCAAGAGAATAGAGTCCTACAGATTGCCCTGTGACCCCAGCTGCTATACTGGGGCATGCACATAGCTAAGTTTTAGATATTCCTGGTCTGTTCAAAACCTTGACTCAAAAAAACTTCATTCCAGCCTGATATAATGGTGCACATCTTTAATCCCAGCACTCGGGAGGCAGATGCAGGTGGATATCTGTGAGCTTGAGGCAAGCCTAGTCTACAGAGCGAGATCCAGGACAGCTAGGGTTCTTACACAGAGAAACCCTGTCTCCAAAAAAAAAGATGTTGTTTTACAGTAAATAGTCCAAGAGACTGCAAGAATATCATTGACAGATGTCTTTTATAACCTAATCTTGGAGAGAGCATAACATCACTTTGAATATATATATAAAGTGACAACATTAACACCAGAAGCCAAGAACCACTAAGACCAATTAGTACTCTTGTCATTTGATCATTAAATATGTATCACCACATTTAAGGAAGAAGCCTGGAAAACCCATTTTTCTTTTCTGCTGCTGAGGAACAACGTATAGCTTTTTACATGCTAGTCAGGGACTCTCCCACTGAGCCAGTTCCCAGGGGGGTTTTATTTTTGAGACAGAATCTTGCTGTGTTGACCAGGCTGGCTGCAACTTACTTTGTAGCCCAGTGTGGTCTCAGATGTACTGTCCTCTCCAGCACTGGGATGGCAGACATGCCCCACGTGAGGCTGGAGAGTGAACCCAGGTTTTTGGGCATGTTAGGTAAGCACTCTGCCAACTGAGTGCATCCCTGGTTCACTGTTCCTCGTGTTCTTGATGTCTGTGTGTTGCACTTTGGTATCTATTGGTAACTATCCCTTCTGGGTTATTTGACAGGAATGGTGTCTTATTGATCAGTTTCTTTTTTAAAATATTTATTTTTATGTGTATGGATGTTCCCTGTGTGTATGCCTGTGCATCACATGTATTCCTGGTACCCACAGAAATACAAGGGCCAGAAGAGGGCATCAGATCCCCTGGAACTGGAGTTATAGACCACTGTGAGCCGCTATGTGGGTGTTAGGAATTGAACCCGTGTCCTCTGCAAGAGTAGCCTTTCCTCAGCCCCTTGATGAGCTTATTCTTGAAGGCTCAGTCCTCAGTACCACTCTGCAAGGAGAAAGCAAACTGCTTCTGGAGCAGCTGCTGGCTCTTGTCTGACGGGAGCTGCACAGCTAAAGCTGCTGCCTTTTTTCTGCTCTCTTTGGGTATCCTCTACTTCCTTGTAGATTTTTCTGGCTTTCTCTTTCACCAGCTCACACTTGAGACAGCTTGCAGCTTCCTGTCTTATGTGGAAGTCATCGAATAAGCTGTTTTAACGAAAGGAGCTTAGTTTCCTTTTGGTTTTTGTTTGGGTAATGCTGGGTATTGAACCCAGGGCCTGCTAGGCAAGTGCTATGCCACTGAGCCATATAATTGACCCCAATATAAGCCACTGTGTGTACATGAGGGTGTGTGGTACTTAGAGCCTTGTTGTATAATAGGTTATATAATTACAGTAATATCTCAGTGTGGTTTATTACTACTCTTTTTTTCATGAGAGGCAGGGAGGGAGATTAGTTTTCAGCATGGTTGTACTAGAAAGACAAGAGACACCAAGCAGCAGGCATCTCACACCCATCCTCCCCAGGATGTGATGGGAGCTGTGAGTGTAGGTAAGGGCAAGCGGGGAGAGGTCTACATAATTCAGCAGTCCTGATCCGAATCAGCTCTGTTTTGCCATTTCTTCAGTTTTGTTCTGTGAAACGGCTCCCTTAACAAGTCCTCATTGGTGGACTGCTGGAGGGGACCATGTGGTTCCCTTGCAAGATGTTTGCTTCTGCTTAGGGGAGTTTGGGAAGTGGGGTAGTTCCCTGGAGGGAGTAATGCAGTCTGCTTCTAGAGGCTGTCTTATCTGGGCTTCTCTGTCTGTAGGGCTCTGCTGTGTTTAAGGATGTCTGGAGACTTGAAGGCACTACTTTAGGATGGTAAGAGCCTGAAATCTGCAGGACCCACAGAAAAGTCTGCAGACTGATTGCTCAAAAGGCTGCTTTTGCCGATCTGGAAACTGCTGCATTTTCTTTGTAGTCTTTATTTGAGTATGGTTTTGGAGATTTGGGGCCAAGATTTGCTGATCTATTCCTTTGGGTCTGAGGCAAGGAAGAATTTAACAGTTGTGGGTGTGTGTGACTGTATCGTGGCCAGGAAGCAGAGAGCATAGTTTTAATTTGCACGTTCTTAATGGCCAGTGATGTTCATGCTCTTGGTTGGTAAAGTCTCTTTGTATCTTTTTCTAAAATCTTGAAATTTTTGTGTCAAGTATCTGTTCACGACTTCTATTTTATAGTATTTTATAGTATTTATATATATTTTAGGGTTGGACCCAGGGCATGCTCTAAAAATACTGTAAGTCTGAGCTACATGCCCACCTTTTTTGTGTGTGTTTAAGGTTTTTCCTGTTTTCTGTGACATTGTTCACCTTCTGATTATTGAGTTGTAAGTTTCTTTTTATACACTTATGCATGGCATAGCAACATAGCACCTGGTTGCATGGCGTAGCAACATTGTAACCAGTACTGGAGCGAACATGTGGTAGTTGTACATGGTGAAATAGCTAACCGTGAATTCCCGAGAATGTTTTCCTATCCTTAAATGATAAATGGTGACACTTGCAGATTATGTTTTCTCCCTGTTTCTCGAGCTTGTTTTCAAGCTCACAGAGATCCACCTGCCCGAGCCTCCTGAGTGCTAGCGAAACGCGTGAGTCACCATGCCCAGCCACGTACTTCCTTAATAATGAAAACTGAAAGTTTTCAATTTTTTTATTTTTATGTGCATTTGGTGTTTGGCCTGCATGTATGTCTTTGTAAGGGTGTCAGATCCCCTGGAACTAGAGTTACAGACAGTTGTGAGCTGCCGTGAGGGTGCTGGGAATTGAACCTGGATCCTCTGCAAGAGCAGCCAGTGCACTTAACTGCTGAACCATCTCTCCAGCCCTGAAAGTTTTAAATTTTGATCAAGTCCAGTGAGTTGAGTTTTATTTTTTCTTTCTTTCTTTCATATTTTTGTATCGTATATTAAGAAATCTTTGCCAAGCCCAGAATTGTTAGAATTGCCATTTGTTCTGCTGTGCTTTGAATGTGTGTCCCCTAAGTTCTTATATTGAAACTTATTGTAAATGTGTTACTATTGAGGGATAGGGTGAGGAATGAGGAGGAGTCTTTATGGCTGGGATTACTGCCCCTGTAAAACGAGTGGAAGGGCACTGGGATGTAGCTGAGTGGGAGAGGGATTGCCTAGCATGCACACGGCCCTGGCTTCAATCCCCAGCATAGACTGCCGGAAAAAAAAAATGTGTTGGTTGAATCAAGCTATCTTGTTCCTCTGCAGTAGTGAGGAAAGAGCTAGAAGGTTCCATCTGTGAGGAATCTGTCCTCACTGGACACTAAATCCCCTGTACCTTCCTTGGTCTTGGATTTCCTAGCTCCTAGAACTGTGAGCAATACATTTTTTTTTTTTTTTTGGTTTATAAATTGCAAAGTCTATGGTATTTTGTTATAGGAACACAAACCCACTAAGACATAATATTACTATTATTATTTTTTGGTATTTTTGAAAAAATAAGTAAAAGAAAATAGAGGGATTTTAAGTGTCCAGTTCAATGAACTTTAAATATTCGTCATTTACATTGTATTGGTTGATAGGTTAAGTGCATGTGTGTGAGTGAGAGGTGACCTTCCAGGAGCTGGTCTCCCTTTGCTGTGGCCTCAGGGTTGTTTGTGGAAGCACCTTTCCTCACTGAGCCTCTCACTCATTGCTCCTGGATTTTGACTATTTTATACTCTTATAGATTAGATAACTAAAAGCAGATTACAGTTTCATAAACATGGAACTAATTATTCTGATTTCTGTCACTTTTTCACTTCCCTATTTTTAATACTTTTGAGACAGGGTCTTGATATATTTTTTGGCTAGCATGGAACTTGATATGTAGACCAGGCTATCTCCAAGCTTGCAGCCATCCTCCAGCCTCTGCCTCCCAAATAGTGGGATTGATGCTGTGAATCTCCATGGCTCATCAGTTAAGAGCACTCGCTGTTGGACTGGTGAGATGCCTCAGAGGTAAGAGCACTGGCTGCTCTTAAAGAGGTCCTGAGTTCAATTCCCAGTAACCACATGTTGGCTCACAACATAATGAGATCTGGTGCCCTCTTCTGGCCGGCATGCGTACATGCAGGCAGAACACTGTATACATAATAAATAAATCTTTAAAAAAAAAAAAGAAAGAAAAGAGCACTAGCTGCTCTTCAGAGGACCTAGGTTGATTCCCAGCACCTGAATAGCAACTCACAACTGTCTGTAGCTCCAGTCCGGAATCTGATGCCCTCTTACATTTGAGGGCACTGGGCATGCATGTGGTGCACAGATGTACATGTAGGCAAAGTACCCATATGCATATGCATAAAATAAAAATACATTAAGAAGATAAGGTAAAGAGAGAAATGTAATGTTGCACAAGTGTATGCTCACTTTTGGTGTTCCTCTGTGGTTTATTTTAGGGTAGATACAACAAGAATCGAATACTCCATTCCTTTAAGAGAAAACTGGGCTCTACCATACTTTGCATGCCAAGTTGCTGCACTTACAGGCTATTTAAAAAGAAACTTAAATACTTATGCAGAGGTAAGACACAAATCTGTTTTATACATCACAGCTAATTCTGATGCTCGGCTAGTTCTGATGCTTTGCAAATGTGGTACATGTTTTGTTTGTTTTGAGACAAAAATCTCCTGTAGTCCAGTTTGGCTTCAAACTCCTTATGTAGCTGAGGCTAGGCCTTGAGCACTTAATCCACCTGCCTCCATGTAGGATTATAGTTGTTGACAACCATGCTGGACTGTGGTACATAATTTTAAAGTAAGTCATATTAGGAGTTTACTTACATTCAGTGAAGCATGTTACAATGTAACATGTGGTTAGGTAGTTGTTATATCATGTTTTTTCTGTAGTCTGATGGCATCTAATTATTTTTAGGAAAAAGATGTTATATTGCTTTTAGTATGGTTACTTGACAATTACATGAGGAATATCTCACTTTGGAAGTTAATCTATCCGAGTATTGTTTTTGCCATTTCTCTTACTTCAGGAACATTTATGCCCTTTAGTCCTCAGAACCTAAAGAAATATGACTGAAGACACAGTGGTGATGGAGGATGGCAGTGGTGTAAATTTGGATGGCAGTGTGGCATATCTTTTGTTCTCTCATTCCTGACTGAGATGTAGTAGGTTAGTCAAAGTTGAAGGAAACATCCATCCCAGATCATCTAGACTCTTAATTTTTTGTTACTGTTATTGCCACAACGCTATTGGCAGTTGAATGATGCCTATAGACTGTGCCACAGAATGACTTTAGTAAGATGCATGTCTGCAAAGACAGGTAATTATCTCGAAGCTGACTGGAACATAGCAGCCCTTTGGCAGTTTGCCTGCCTGCCTGCCTTAGATAACAAATTCCTGTGTATGGCTCTGTGGACTCCTCGTGGGAGACCTTGCCTTGTTGGAGGAGGGAATGCGGGGAAGGTGGGAGGGGTGGGAGGCGAGGGTGATCTGTGATTGGTATGTAAAATGAATAAAAAAATTCCTTAATAAAAAAAATGTCCTGTCTAGGAAGAGACCAGAGAGACCAAACACCGTCTACTAATAAAGCTGGCTGTCTGGAATACAGGGCAGGAATGAGGGCAGGGTGTGGCTTCATGGTCGCTAGCTTGTGCAAGCACCTTCACCACCCAAAAATCAATGGGAGGAATTATTGGATTCTTCCTCTATTTTAAATCTCCATTTGTACTTTACGTTAATAAGAAGTGGACACAGCCGGGTGGTGGTGGCGCACGCCTTTAATCCCAGCACTCGGGAGGCAGAGCCAGGCGGATCTCTGTGAGTTCGAGGCCAGCCTGGTCTCCAAAGCGAGTTCCAGGAAAGGCGCAAAGCTACACAGAGAAACCCTGTCTCTAAAAACCAAAAAAAAAAAAAAAAAAAAAAGAAGTGGACACAATAGGAAACAGAAGGGTTATAGTCTTCTTACTGTAGATCCATTTGCAATGATAGGGGTTGTGGAATGTTATTTTAATTGGGCAAAGATGGGTTACATTTGTTTATGCTGTGGAATATTACTTTAACTGTGTAAGGGTGTCTTACATTTGTTTCTGCTGCATTTGTTTAACGATGTAAGGATGTCTGTTTAATTATGTAATGGTGTGTTGCTGTTTCACCTTGCCTGCCTACGTACGGCACCTGGTCTGAGAAAAAGCTGAATGGCCAATAGGCAGGAGAGGGATAGGCGGGGCTGCCGGGCAGAGAGAGTGAATAGGAGGAGTGGAAAAAGGAGGAGGAGAGAGTGAGGGAGACAGGGCCAGAAGCCAGGCAGACAGAAGAAGCAGTGAAAGTAAGATATACAGAAAGAAAGTCAGACCGGTAAAGAGCCCTGAGGCAAAAGGTAGATAAAGAGAAGCAGGTTAATTTAAGTTAAAAGAGCTAGCCAGAAACGAGCTGAGCTCTGCCAAGCATTCATAACTAATAAGAAGTCTCCCTGTCATAGAGCTGGTTGGTGACCCAAAAACAAAAAAGCCTGGTACAGATAGGATCATTTTTGACCATGTATAATATGTATATATTTCACTTTACAAAACTTAAAATAATAAGCCAGGTATGGTGATGCATGTCTTTAATCCCAGCACTCAGGAAGCAGAGGCAGAACGATCTCTGTGAGTTTCAGACCAGCCCAATCTACACAGTGAGTTCCAGGACAGCCAGAGGTAAAGAGACCCTCTTTCAAAAAAAAAAAAAAAAACAAAAAACAAAAAACTTAAAAATAATAAGTGCAGCATAGCATGAAACATTGCAATGAAAAAACATTGTAAGAATAACAATATGGTATAAATGGGGTAAAGTTGGGGGCTGGAGAGATGGCTCAGGGGTTAAGAGCACTGGCTGCTCTTCCAGAGGTCCTGAGTTAAATTCCCAGCAACCACATAGTGGCTCACAACCATTTATAATGAGATCTGATGCCTTCATCTGGCCTGCAGGGATATATGCAGGCAGAAGACTCTATATGTAATAAATCAAATAAATAAATAGGGTAAAGTTTATAAAACTATTTTATAAGAGTATAGCTAGGTATTGTAACCCACACCTGTGACCCCAGCACTTGGGAGGTGGAAAGTAGGGGTTCAGGATATTTTTAATGACATGATGAGTTCAAAGCCAACCCTGTCAGAAGGATAAAACAAAAATAATCCCCCTAAAAGTAAGATCAGATGGACATGAAGGTACACACCTGTAGTGCCAGTAGCACACAGACAACTGGAGCAGCACCAAGTTCAAGACCATCCTAGGCTCGAAGTCCTAAAGCAGCCTATGTGTACAGCGTGACTCTGTTCAGAGACTGCAAGTCTAACAGCCTGAGTTTGATGCCCAGGACCCAATAGGGAGAAGAAAGAACAGACACCACAGAGTTGTCCTTTGGCCTCTGCATGTGTGCACCCCCTCATACACAATAATAAAAAAAGGTTAGACAAATTTTACTAAAAAAGTTATGAATTTTTTTAGGCAACCATTTGTTTTAGTTCAAAATAAATATCATAAAAGCAGCTTTGGCAGTTCATTTTTCCACACTAAGAACTCATGTTTAAAATTTAAAGACCTGTGCTGCAGATACAGCTCCATGGTCGAATACTTGAGGGCTGAGGCCTTGTGTGTGATCCCTAGCACCAGAAGGAAGCACTGAGCTATGGGAAAGAGCGCTTACAGAGCTGAAATATGTTCATGTTTTTCATGAAAATGAAACATTCAAGGTATAAAGGTCAGCAGTACGTATTAAGTAAAGAGAAGTAGCATCCAGTTTTGCATGGTTGATGAGGACAGCATTGGAGGAGAACAGGCCAAACCTGGTTAGGAGCAGAGCCTTGACTAGGCATCCCTGAACTGATAATTTTTAGGAAAATAAAATCAGCATGGACGGAAATAAAAATACTATTTTAGGACAAAAGAAGCTTCCATATTAACAAAAGCTTAACATCCTCCACATGAAAAAAAATTGTGCTCAAACTCTACCCCCTTTTGTCCTAGGCCTTTGTAATATAATGTGGATGGACAGGTGCTGATTTCTCTCTGTGTTTTGATAAGATACTGTTGGTTTTGTCACACACACACACACACACACACACACACACACACACACACACACACACCAGAGACTCTCTCCATAGTCTTTCCTGTCTGTGTTTTAGAACTTACTATGTAGACCAGGCTGGTCTTGAACTTGTAGATATCCACCTGCCTCTACTTCCCAAGTGCTGTATTAAGACATGCACCACCACACCTGGCTGGTTTTGTGACTTTGACAGTAGCTTCAAGTGCTGAGGAGCTCCTTGGGTTTTACAGTAGTCAAGTTACTGATCTCAGTTGACTCTTTCTCCAGCGGTTTTGCTACCTGTTGATGAGTGCCTCGACGTACACGTTCATGATGGTGTGGGAGTACAGCCACTATGTCTTGTTCCTTCAAGCAGTATCTCTGCTGCTGCTGGACGTGTTCTCAGAGGAACAAAGTGACAAGGTAGTATGACATGTTGAAATGAGGAATTTATATGCCAAAACTAATGTTCTTAGAACATTGTCTTTTATGTATCTCCATCCCTTATTCTCAGCTGTTCAGAACTCTGATGAGCATCAAGATTTAAATTACTTGTACAGAGATAACCTAATGTAAAGATTTAATAACCAAAACCATGCACCCAGTTGAGTGGCAGAGCATGCCGAGGCCCTTAGTTTAGTTGTAACATTAAAACCCTCAAAACCTACCACTCTCCAGTCATTAATGAAGAATCAAGTTGTTGTCTTAGTTGCTCAATAGAAAGGGTGATGATAGCAGGGGCTGAAAGCGCTATGGAAGTGGCAACCCCTGGAAGCAGGGCGGATGGAGCTGCACTGTCAAGGATTGGGAACATTCCGTCTGCATTCTGAGCTTCAGCAGGAAGGAACTGTTCTGTTGGGGTCAAAAACTGACAGTCTTTTAGGGAAGGGTTGGAAGAAGGGCAAGCCATCAGGAGAGCAAACCTCTTTGTCCTTCAGCTTTGCACTTCCCCTGAAGCTCTACTATTGCCAGAGCCTCATCTGGAAAAGAGGAGTGTAGACAGAAGGGAGAAGTGGGCTGGGAGCTGAGTTCCTCTGTAACTGCGCACACTTGGATGGAGTTAGCCACGTCAAGAGTCAAACATTACCAACACCACAAGATTGGTACACACACACTTCTCCCAGGCATACTTAGTATTCTCCAAGGATATCATGACTTGTTACAGGGAAATCTCTCTTTTCAGATTTTTTTTTTTTTAAAGTCATCTTTTTGTTTGTTTGTTTTGTTTTTCCAGGCAGGGTTTCTCTGTGTAGCCCTGGCTGTCCTGAAACTCGCTCTGTATACCAGGCTGGTCTCGAACTCACAGAGATCTGACTACCTCTGCCTCCCAAGTGCTGGGATTAAAGGTGTGCACCACCACTTGGCACCTTTTTTTATTTTTTGAGACAAGCTCTTGCGGAGCAGTCCACGCTGGCCTTACTCATAATCCTGTGCCAGCCGTCCGAGGCTGGGTTTGCTGACCGTGTTGTACCGCCCCCACACGAAACTGACTTGATCACAGAAAGCCACCGGAACTAAAGTATGGCAGTAAGCAAGGTGCTGTAGCTTTCTCTTAGGACTTTAGAGCTCTTCATTTCTATAGAATGCTGAGAAGAGACTGCTAAGTCCATTATGCACTATAACGGTAAAAATACAGATGGAACATTTCCTAACGCTGCCCTAAATTATAGCAGAGCATTTTCTTGTAATGACTATTTTTAAAATTCACTTTATTCTCATTTATTTTATTTTTGTTTCAACAGGTTTACGAAGTCTATAAAATCTACATATTTTCTCTCTTCTTGGGGTATTTACTACAGTTTGAGAATCCAGCTTTATTGGTGTCTCCTTTACTAAGTTTAGTAGGAGCGTTAATGCTTATTAAGTGCCTTCAGGTAATTAACACTGCTGTTTTTAAAAAGTAGTCTTACTGTTTTAAATTGTTAATTTTTATAACCCACACCTTTGTTGGTGTGACTTTGTTTCCCTTTGTAGCTGAATGGGAAAAGGGGAACTTTCGTGGCTAACGTGGTCAAAGTGGTGAAGTTTTACCTGGTGTGCACTCTGCCGCTGACCCTGAACTTGATAATGAAGGTGAGAGCGGAGAGTCACATCCACATCATCTGATAGAGAGATACAGTGTGCAGCTGTAATGAGAATGACGACATTCTAACGAAGGCAGAGAGTACATACAGAATTATCTTCTACGACACAGTGAGGTTGAGGCTAGTGTCCTCTACATCAGACGGTGTCAGAAACCAAACAAACCAAGAAAAATGTCTTCCGGAGCAGGGATTATTTGAACCAGTTCTCCTAGGTTGAAATTTTCAAACTCTCAAAATGCCATTTCATTTTTTGTCTAAGCATACAACAAATGTATTCATAGTGCATATTCTGTGTTATTTAATTCACTGTTCTTTTAATCTGGCTGTATTTTCTATCATTAGTAATTGGAAATAAGTATTGTTAAACGCATAGACAGAGCTGGATGGTGGTGATACCCTTATCCCAGCACTCGGGAGGCAGAGGCGAGTGGATCTCTGTGAGTTTGAAGCCAGCCTGGTCTATAGAGGGGGTTCCAGGACAGCCAGGGCTATTACATGGAGAAACCCTGTCTCGAAAAACCAAAAAAAAAAAAAGAAAGAAAGAAAGAAAGAAAAAGCAAAAGCATAGGCATTAGGCATAGAGAGTATTCTTTGTTTAGATAATGTTTGTTTGTTTTCTGTGAGAATGATGCCTCACAATTTGGCCATGGTGCCTCATTGCCTGATTCTCTCTCTTCTAGACGTTTGTCCCACACAAAGAAAATGAGCATGTGCTGAAATTCCTTGAAGTAAAATTTGGATTAAATGTGACTAAGTAAGTTTAACATTTGCAAGTTCACCTAATCTATAGCACCCCGAAATAAAAAGAAGCCTTGACAGGAGGGAGTGTGTACCTGGTTCCGTGTCACCTAGGAAATAGTTTGGGTATTCTATAGAAGATTACTTTTTGGTTTTGGTTTTGTGGTACTGAGGATTGTCTCCAGGGCCTTGCAAATTATAGGCAATGTCTTACCACAGAACTATAGCCTCAGCCCTATAGAAAAGACATGGTGTTGATATTTAGAGTGGAGGGGGAGGGAGTAAGTTGGTAGCTCAGTTGGTAGAGCATTTGACTAGTGTGCATGGGGCCCCACTTCTGCACCTACTGCAGAAAAAACACGTGGTTAATGCTTGGGACCGTGGTTTGAATACCATGCAGCAGCATAAATAAATACATTTCTAGTCTCCTAAAAAGTAGATAAACTTTTAACAGCATTATAGTATTTTTTTTTTTTTTTTTTTTTTTTTTTTAAGATTTATTTATTTATTATGTATACAGAAGAGGGCGCCAGATCTCATTATAGATGGTTGTGAGCCACCATGTGGTTGCTGGGAATTGAACTCAGGACCTCTGGAAGAGCAGTCAGTGCTCTTAACCTCTGAGCCATCTCTCCAGCCCGCATTATAGTATTTTTATTTAATGATTTATTTATTGTATGTGGATTGGAAATGTTGTGTATGTGTGAGTAAGCATGTGTTTGCCACAGCACACGTGTAGGGATCAGAGGTTAAGTGTTGGGAGTTAGTTCTTTTCTTCCACGTGGGTCCCGGGGTCAAATTCAGGTTATGGGGCTTGCATAGGAAGTGGTTTTTTTGTTTTTTGTTTTTTTTAGATTTGTTTTTTATTTCTATTTATTTAATCATTTTTGGTTTTTTTGAGATGGTGTCTCTGTGTAGTCCTGGCTGTCCTGGAACTCACTCTGTAGAGATCTGCCTGCCTCTGCCGCCCAAGTGCTGGGATTAAAGGTGTGCATCACCATTGCCCAGCCATTTTTTATTTTTATTTTCATGTATATGTATGTGTGTGCAGACATGTATGTACAGGCAAATGATGGGACCAAATTCTCTGGAGCTAGGGTTACATGTGATTGTGAGTCTCAGCTCCAGCTAACGTGGGAGCTGAGGACTGAACTTGGTTGGCCCTCTGCAAGAGCCTCGGGTGATGTTAACCACTGAGCCATCTCTCCAGCCCCTCATAGTATTTCTAAGTCTTTCCTTTGGGAAGATTTATGGCACAGTCTAAAGTTAGAGTAAGTAAAGTCTTAAAGTCATGGCTGGAGAAGTAGCGAAGGGGTAGAGTGCTGGCCTAGCATGTACACAGCCCTAGGTTTGATCTCCAATCCTGCAGAAAAATAAATAAAATAGCCAGTATACCAGCACTGTGTTTATCTTCAGAAAGCACAGTAGCAGGCTTGGAATACAGTTTAGTGAGCAAGCATTTGACCTCTAATACTGCCGACGAGGAAGAGAGAAGGGCAGGAAATGTGTGTTTCATAGAACACTCATTGGGTTTGTAATCATCAGGCCAAGAGATGGCTGGATTTTATTGTTGTTGTTTTTAATTAAAATATAATGTGTTTATAGTTGTTGCTGAATTACTTTTTGTTTTGTTTTATAAAACAAAATGAAAGAAATGACTTTATGTACTGATAATATCTGTATGACAGATGATATTGGCTTACACATGTCTCAAGCTCTAAGAAAGGTTGGAACCTTTTTCTCACTTGTGCGATTATGTAGGATTGTAGATAGAATTTCTTATTATGATATAACACAGTTAGCAAATTAAGTGTTTGCTGTATATATTTATTCACTAAGATAAAGGATCCTTGAGGAGGTCTATAGGCCTGGTCCATAGTGACAGCTGGTGTAGCCCTCCATAAGGGAGGCCTTTTTTCTGTTGACTTTACCCCAACCCTGAACTCATCCTGCTGCAGTCTTCTAAGGGTGAGGACTGCTTGAGCCAGTTGATTGATTGATTGATTGATTGATTGATTGAGACAGGGTTTCTTTGTGTGCCCTGGCTGTTCTGGAACTTGCTTTTTGTAGATCAGGCTGGCTTAAGACTCACAGAGATCCACCTGCCTCTTCCTCTCTAGTGCTGGGATCAAAGGCGTGTGCCACCACGCCAGGCTATGAGCCAATGTTTATTAGTTGATATTATATGGTACCTGTAGTCGACATGTCAAATACTAGTGTTGCTGTATAAGGTAATGCACTGTGTTGTATGTTGAGACACAGTCTGTTCTCTCAGAAACATTGCCATCTGCTTAGCTGTGCTTTGTTTTGATCCCTAGGACTGTGGACTGAACCCAGGGCCTTGCACACGCTAGGCAAGTACAGTACTACCAAGCTGTACGCCTACCCCAATTTCATTTTACACACTCAATGTCATGGTGCTACAAGTAGCAAATGCTTTATGCATAAATGTGCCAGTTCTTTATTGGGATTTGGAATTAACCAGAATTTCAGGAATCTCACTCCCTAGAGACAGATTTCTTAGAACACCTAAGATGGATGGCTTAATGGTTAAGAACACTTACTGCTCTTGCTGAAGATCTGAGTTTCGTTCCTAGTACTCATGTAGTGGCTCAGAGCCATGTCTAACTCCAGTTCCAGTGGGTCTGGTATCCTCTTCTGGCTTCCTCCAGCACCAGCCACAAATGTGGTATGCATACATACATACAGGCAAAACACATAAATAGGCAAGCCTTCAAAGTTTTTTAAAAGATAAGGAATGGTTTTTGTTGTTGTTTGTTTAAAAAAAAAAGAAGCAGCAGCAGCCTTGCGATGGTGGTACACACCTTTAATCCCAGCACTGGGAGGCAGAGGCAGGCAGATCTCTGTGAGTTCAAAGTCAGCCTGGTCTACAGAGCAAAAGATGTCCAAGCACTAGGGAGATAAAGAACTGGTTTTAGTCTGGGGCTGCAGGCGTTAATAGCCCTGGGTTCAGTCCCTAACACCACGTAAACGGAGCATGGTAGCACATGCCTATAATCCTGGTATTACTTGGTAAGATGGAAACTGGTGGATCAGAAGTTCAAGGTTGTCCTCAGCTACGTAGGGAATTGGCATTCATGAAGGCTTGCCTTAAATAACAGCAGTGATAGCACTGTAGCCCCAATATAAGACATTTTGGTAGCATCTAATACCACTATTTTCCTACTTAGCACATTTTGAAGCTTTAGCTTTTTTTGTTTGTTTATTTGGTGGTTTTTTTTTCCCTTTTTTGTTTTGTTTTGTTTTTTTCTGGAGCTGAGGACTGAACCCAGAGCCTTGCACTTGTTAGGCAAGCGCTCTACCACTGAGCTAAATCCCCAACCCCAGCTTATTTTTTAAAATGAAGTCATTTTTATTTACTTTTATTTTTTAATTTTTTTTTTTTTTTTTGGTTTTTTGAGACAGGGTTTCTCTGTGTAGCTTTGCGCCTTTCCTAGAACTCACCTTGGAGACCAGGCTGGCCTCGAACTCACAGAGATCCGCCTGGCTCTGCCTCCCGAGTGCTGGGATTAAAGGCGTGTGCCACCACTGCCTGGCAAAGTCATTTTTAAAATGGACACTTTAATCTACCCATGAGTATTTTTTAAAATTTTGTTACTTTATATGTATGAGTGTTGGCCTGCATGTATGATATGCACCACCTGTGTACGAGTGCCCAGAAGAAGGCACTGAATCTCCTGGAACTCAAGCCACAGGTGGTTATGAGTCTGAGTACATGTATGTGCACCATGTACATATAAGAGCCCCGGGAGAGGGCATTAGATGCCCTGGACCTGGAGTTACAGCAGATTGTGAGCTGTCATATGGGCACTGGCAACCAAACCCAGGTCCTCTGGAAGAGCAGCCAGTGCTGTTAACTGCTGAGCCATTTCAAGTGTACCGTGAGCACCCTGAACTGCACTCCATCTCTTACCTGGGGGTGTGGTCCAGTGGTAGAAGTGCTTGCCTGGTGTGCATGAGGCCCTGAACTTAATCCTCAGCAACTGGAAAAACACATTTGAATTGGGCTTTATAGACGGTTACGTTTTTACCGTATTAGCCACTCTACAGAATATCCATGTCAGCTACTTAAGGGAGTAGTAGACTTAATTTTGCTCACAGTTTCATAGACTTATTTAAGAATTTTGAAAAATTGTGTGTGCGTGTGTGCGTGTGTGCGTGCGCGCGTGCAATCGCATGTATGTGTAAGTCAGAAGTCAAAATTTGAAAGTTTTCTTTTCTTCCTCCACCATAGCGTTAAACTCAGGTTCTCAGGCTTGACAGTATGCTTTTACCTACCAAGCTGCCTTACTGGCTCCGGTTCATAGATCATGACTGTGCATGGTCATTTGGTTCACTGTTTCTGACCCATGGAGACCACCATATGATGAAGGTTAGGAAAAGAGGAAAGGGGAGGGGTAAGAAAGGTCCTTCAAAGGCAGCTCGCTGTCCAGTCACCTGCTTCTTCCTGATAGGCCCATCTTCTCAAGTGTTCCTACCTCCAGTCATGCCATCCCATTATGAATCCATCAATGTCATGACCTCATCAGTTCCTCTGACCTTCACCCTAGGACACGGTGCTGTTGGGAATTAAGCTTTCCAGCCACACTCCTTTCTGGACATACCTGATTTGCAAACTGTAACTCTGGTAAAAGCCGCAGCAGTGTTACGTTTGTGCACAGTTTAGATGAAGGCCCATGCTTCACAGTAGCTTAGCCTTCCCTCCATTTATAAGTGCATCCTTGCTGTTATGAATGAGTGGCTTTAGAAAATGTGTTTTATCTGCGTTTTTACTGAGATTTTTAAATACCTGTATGTTGAGTGGTTGAAAGCATATGTGATTCTAACATCACACATTTTGTCTTTTGTAGGAATTTCACATTGAACTGGCTCCTCTGTCAGGAATCTCTCCAGGCACCATCTCAGGATTTTTTTTTACGATTGACACAATCTTCCCTATTACCATTCTATATTTTAGTGTTAATTATTTGTCTTCTTTCTATGACTCAAGTTATTTTTAGGAGGATAAAGTAAGTGTTTATAATAATCAATTGTATTTCTAGTTCCTGTATTTTAAAGCTATACAATATTTTAAGTAGTGTGTGAGTGGGCGTGCGTCGGTGTGGTGCTGGGTTAATAATGCAGTGCCTTGTGAATGTTGAGCGTATGCTTTCACTAAGTTGCACTCAGATCCAGCTATTCTTTAGAGACCTGGTTTGGGACTCGGGGTGAGATATTGGTGAAATTATTAAGGCGACTCCACGTAGTTAAAAGGGAGGTTTATTTTGTGGGGTAACTCACAAATGAAGGGATAGGTAAACAGGGTCTGGGAAAGGTGTAGCGCAGTCCGGCGGTGTTCTCTGGAGAACTCTATTCGGTCTACCTCCAGCGTCCAGGGTCCAGGAACCAAGAGAGCCAGCCCACCCAGATCTTGGGTCTTCAGGGGTCCTCTCTCGGCCCCGCCTTGTAGGCGTGACAGTTACCAAAGCCTCAATGGGGGTTGGAACTTCCAGATCAAAGCTGGAATGGCTACCCAAATGGATAGGTATAAGATATTATGGTAGATTATTGTATATACTAGTAAACAAATTTAGTAAAATAGCAGCCTTAGATAATTTGCACTGTAATTTGCACTGTTATGGATTCTTATATGTTGATACAAATGTAAACTATTTTTATATTCCTGTTTAAGATAATTTGTATATTGATACAAATACAGAACTATATTTGTTATAATGTACATATATTTCTACTCTTATTTGAAATTGTAAATTTATATCTGTCATACTGTATGCATGTTCTACTTATGTTTAGGATATTCTGTATATTGTTATATCTTTAAGATTATTGTCATATTGCATATTGCACTATACATTCCTACCTCTGTTATAAATATCCTGTGTATTGTCTCAATTTTAAAGACATCGTCCTTTACCATACATTTGCTTATAGACTGTTTACCTTGTTTACGAAAAGCCTTAGTCCTTAGGTTATTTAGGTAGATAAGACTTATAGATTTATAGTTACCTGTGCTTTTCATCTCTATAGTTATGTTAGTTAGGTTATTCAGATTCACAGATAACATAGGTCGGATGGACAGGTAGTTTTCAAACACTTCATGGACCTAGAGAATATGGCATTTAAATAACTTAGAATTCTGTTTCCGTGAGACACAATTGCTCCTGGCAGCACCAATTTGATCCTGAGAGAACGTTGGGCTTCTAAGACATTTCCAAATGGCCCAAAATAGCCTATTGGGCAAAGAACTGCCCTTGCCTCAACTGCTGACAGCACAAATGCTGTCCTTCTGGACAAGCAGAATACAAGAAAAAGCGACTTCTGAACTCTGTCAAGACAGGGTAAGATGGTCTCTCAAAATTCCTGCTTCTAAAAATGGTCTGTCAGATACGCTAGGCCTGTAGCCAATTTAAATGCACCAACAATGCTGAGAAACATTAGGTGACTGTCCAGCCTGCCAGCTGTCTCTGTCTGCTCTTGCAAGACTCCCGAAAGTTGCTTGCATCCATCTTCCATTTCTCAGGTATCGTTATATTCCTTCTCAGGTCTTTGATGGGATTGAAGACTAGCAGTTATAGTTACAACTTAGTATATATATGATATCTTAGATAGAACTTATTAAGTATTAGATTTAGGTTCTTTAGGATAGGACACCTTTTGGAATGATCTTTGTAACATGCCATTTACCTATGCTCTAGACTTCTCTGGATTTTAGTATGTGTTTCTTGCTTGATATTGTTCACATTGGTTGTGGTTCCATCTTATCTAGGTCATTATCTCTTATTACTCCTGGATAATATTTGATAACCATTCCTTTGTGTATAGTCTTGTATTAGGTTAGAACCTGTTTATTTAGACAAAAGGGGGAGATGTAGTGGGTAGCCATTCCAGCTTTGACCTGGAAGTACCACCCCCATTGAGGCTTCGGTAACTGTCATGCCTACAAGGCAGGGCCGAGAGAGGACCCTGAAGACCCGAGATCTGGATGCACCGGCTCTCTTGGTTCCTGGACCCTGGACGCTGGAGGTAGACCGAGCAGAGTTCTCCAGAGAACACCGCCGGACTGCGCTACACCTTTCCCAGACCCTGTTACCTATCCCTTCACTTGTGAGTTACTCCACAAAATAAACCTCCCTTTTAACTACGTGAAGTGGCCTTAATAATTTCACCAATAGTGCTGGGTTAATAATGCAGTGCCTTGTGAATGTTGAGTGTATGCTTTCACTAAGTTGCACTCAGATCCAGCTATTCTTCAGAGACCCGGTTTGGGGCTCGGGGTGTAGTGCTGTGCAAGAACACTTACTAGGCAGCACGAGGCCCTGTGTTCTGTTCTGAGGGGGGAAGGAAGGTGAGAGGAAGGTTCTGCGCTGCTGTTCCAAATGACCCAGAACTCATTCCCGACAATCCTCCTGACTCAGCCTCCAAATCATTTAAGACTACAGGTGTGTGCACCTCACATCCTTTCAATGCTGTTTGTTTGAGAGCATCGGTTGTTTGTTTTGCTCTTTTGGGGGGCCCGCCACCCAGCTCCCAAATAAATCACACACAGAGGCTTATTCTTAATTATAAATGCTCAGGCTTAGCTTGGCTCAGTTTCTAGCCAGCTTTTCTTAACTTAAACTTAACCCATCTACCTTTCACCTTAGGACTTTTCTCTTACTTCTGTAAAACTTACTCTTACTCCATGGCTTGCTATGTAGCTGGGTGGCTGGCCCCTAATGTCCTCCTCCTCCTCTGGCTGCTTCTTTTCTTCTCCTCTATTTATATTTCTCCTTCTGTGTATCCTTTCTGCCTACCAGCCCCACCTATTTCTCTCTCCTGCCTCGCTATTGGCTGTTCAGCTCTTTATTAGACCATTAAGTGTTTTAGAAAGGCACAGTAACACAGCTTCACAGAGTTAAACAAATGCAACATAAACAAAAGTAACACACCTTAAAATCATATTCTACAGCAAGCATCTAATTCCACTCTTTTTTCATGGGTCATTATAAATTAATCAGGCAAGCTCATGTTAGCTTTATCCATGTGAATATTTAGAATCCAGTTTTGATATATGGATATGTAAGTAATAGATTAAGCTTTTGCAGACTTATTTACTAATTTACTAAAATTTCTACTTAATTAAAAATAATGTAATTGGCTGGGTGTGATGGCTCATGCCTTTAATCCTAACACTTGGGAGGCTGAGGCAGGCTGATCTAGGATTTTGAGGCCAACCTGGTCTACAAAGCAAGTTCCAAGATAGCCAGGGCTATACAGCAAAACCCTATCTTGGGGGATTGAGATATTCATATATATATTACAGCACAAATCACAGTAGTAGCTTCATTTCAATTTCATTATAATTTATAAATAAATTATAATGAAATTGAAATGAAGCTACTACTGTGATTTGAAATTACTGTCAGTTTTTCTGAGTATGATGGGGCATGCCTATAATCCAAGCATTCAGGAGACTGAGTTGAATTGTGAGTTCAAGGGCAGCCGAGACCAGATACTGAGAACCTATCTCAAGAAATAAGAAACAAAAGCAGCCGGGCGGTGGTGGCGCATGCCTTTAATCCCAGCACTCGGGAGGCAGAGCCAGGTGGATCTCTGTGAGTTCGAGGCCAGCCTGGGCTACCAAGTGAGTTCCAGGAAAGGCGCAAAGCTACACAGAGAAACCCTGTCTCAAAAAAAAAGAAAAAAAAAAAGAAATAAGAAACAAAAGCAAAATAGCAAAACAATAACAATAAAAACCACTGTAAATATAGTTGTTTTTAATGTTTATTATGCTAGCAAGGTAGTTCAGGATTCTTGTAGTGTGCTTGTAATCCCATCACTTGAGAGGTGAAGACTGGATGTGCTCGATTCGGCAGCACACATACTAAAATTGGAACAGTACAGAGAGGTGAAGACTGGGTCTTGAGTTCAAGGCCAGCCTTGCCTACATACCAAGTTGTACATACCAAAGCTAGTCAGGCTATATGAGACCCCATTGCAAAAACCAAAAGTAAATACGTATGCTAGCAGGTACTTCCCAGCCCGTCTCCCCTCTTGCACATGCTCCCTTACAGGCTGACGATACACACAGCACTTATTTACTATACAGACCTACGCTTGGTGACCCCAGCACTACAATAAAAGGAAAAAGTACCTTGAAGCCGAGTGTGGTGATGCAAACACGTAATCTCAACTCTGTATGGCCTAAAGCAAAAGGGTTTCCTGGAGTAGAGACAAGGTTAGCTACAGAATGTGTTCTAGGTCAGCCTCAGCTAGTGGTGAAGCCCTGTGTCCAAACAACGCAAACAAACGAACAAAAAGGAAGATGGCCAGGCATAGCTTCTTAACTTTGAAGGTTAAGTATATTGGTTAGCATTGCTAGTTCAGGCATGATTGACCTTAGAAAAAGAGAAGAAATTCAGTTTTAGGTATAGCTTTCAAAGATGATGATGTATCTTTGATTTTTCATGTGTATTTTTCCAAACTGTTAAAAACATGTTTCTTTTATATAGTGGTAAATCCCAGAAAGAAACTGTAACTCTTGAAGATGGAAGAATTGGAGAAAGGCCAGAAATAATTTATCATGTAATTCATACCCTTATACTGGGTTCTCTTGCAATGCTTATGGAAGGGTAAGTGCATTTGTTTGATCAGTTTGATCGTTATAAAACTCATTTTTTTCCCTATGGATAGCTAGTGAGTACATTTAAAACAGTTTCTATAACTACATTTAAGAAATTATAAACTTTTTAGGGCACTAGGCAGTAGCCTTTAATTCCAGCACTTGGGAGGCAGAGGCCAGCAGGTCTACGAGTTTGAGGCCAGCCTGGTCTACAGAATGAGTTTCAAGACAGCCAGAGCAACACAGAGAAACCTTGTTTTGGCAGGAGGAAACAAAAACAAACCAGCAACAACAACAATGAAAAAAAAATACAAACTTTTAAATTATATAAGTGAAATTTAACAAAGATTTTTATAATATAGCAAACTGATATTTAATTATTCATTTATTTGTTAAAATACTCTTGAATGTCTTCTAAGATTCATGCATCGTCCTAAATACTCAAAGTACAGTGGTAAGCAACATGGACACAGGCTTTCTACTTTGTACAGCTGTTGGCCTAAAATGGAGCCAACAGATGTTAATTATACAAAACTAAAGTTATAACTTGATAGTTGAAGGGAGGGTCAATGGTGCTGTGAGAACATTTGAAGTCAGGATATGACTTGAAAAGATGCTTGGGTGAGGCCTGAACGGCGAGTGAAAATGAACTTGTGAACAGAAGAGGGAAGTGTATTCCAGGCAGAGGGAATCTCACTGCCAAGCTTTATAATAGGAAGGCCTGCAGCAGAGCCTGGAGAGGGTAAGGAAGTATGGTGAAGGACAGTGGTCTGCAGTGGGCCTTCCTAGGACTCGAGCTGGGTGGGGTGAAGTGGGGTTCTTTTGTTTTCCCTGACTTTACTGCTTTTATATGGAAAATGAACCTTTGATACCCTGAAGCATGGGCACGCTTATGTTTACATTTCTTTCTCGTCGTTCTGTTACTGTGTGTTCTTCAGTTTGCTAAGGGAAGTCTCTGCATGCAGTCAGTTGTCCTTTCACATCAGTGTTTGTGAGCTGTGTACTGTTGTGTTGTATGAACTTCTCGGGTGTGCCTGCTCAGACTAACACCACTAGGCAATGTCTTGTGGGATTGCTGTCACATATGCAGTCTGTTGTTGACCAGAACACCATTGTTTCGTCTTGCCTTGAACTTGAGAGCCTCAAAAGTCTGCTCCCCCTTTTTGTGCAGTACTAGGGACTGAACCCAGGACCTTGCACATGCCAGGCAAACAATGTACTCCTGATCTATACCCCTAGCCCAAGCAGAGGTTTTAAATTTTTATATGTAAGTCACTTTTAGCAAATAAGATGGGATGCCTCTCTCTCTTCAGAGTTTAAGATGGTAAGGACAGTGTTCAGGAGTCCTTAAGGCCGTCCCTATTTTGAAACCAACTGCAAGTTTGGAAATTCCCAAAAACATTCTTGGATTCTATTACTGGGATTCACACAACCAGAAGAGTCTTTGTATTCATGGTTACTGCTTATTACAGTGAAACAGGTCTATATTATCGACGGCTTTTTTATGGAGCCTGCTCCAAGACCGCCTCCAGGGTATGCAAATCAATCCACGAATGCACCAAGGGCTAGACTTTTCTATCTGAGGTGTAAATAACTGTCTCCACACAGTTACATTCTTTACATATGTTCACACACCTCTCTCCTGTACAGCCACAAATCTCTCTCCCCAGCTGCATCTACCTTCTGCACAGCCACAGATCTCTATGCACAGTCACCTCTCTTTTTTACATAGCTTCACATCGCTCTCCACATACATCTCTCTTCTGTACACATTTCTTCTCTCTACCTTGCTTACATTCCTTCACATACTAATACATCACTCACTCTCACTTACTCTTCTCCACACACAGCTCTGTCTCCACAGCCACAGCTATACATCTCATCTGCACAGCTTTCACCACACAGCCACATCTCTTCCTTCACACACATCTCTACATCTCTTTTCTATGCAGCTCTCTATGCTGTGTCTCTTTACCCACTCAGCTACATCTCTTCACACTTCTCCTTCTTCATTTCTCTCACTTCTTCTCTCTACAGCAAAAGACTGAACAAATATGAATCACATTTTCAGGGTCACATAGCATTTCTTGAGTAAACAATAAGAATCAGAGCCATGGGCTGGAGAGATGGCTCAGAGGTTAAGAGCACTGACTGCTCTTCCAGAGGTCCTGAGTTCAATCCCCAGCAACCACATGGTGGCTCACAATCATCTGTAATGAGATATGGTACCCTCTTCTGTATACATAATAAATAAATCTTAAAAAAAAACCCCACAATCAGAGCCATTCTGATCACACAGTTTCTCTCAGGCTAGGGAGATCGCACTGACTGGGCATGGTGAGTAAGCAGGCACATAGCTGTGAGTGGTCAGGGTTCCCAGACAGAGTGACATTGAAATTCAGGACTTAAACAATAAACAGTTAGTTGGCTGAACCTTGAAGTTAGGAGTACGTGCAGAAAGTCAGTTGCTGCAGGGAGTTTATGTCTTAATGTTATCTGCCTGACTTTGGTTCAACAAACAGACACTAGGGAACCTGCCCCTGTGCAATTCGTCTCTAGGGGCAACCAGTCTATTTTGAATTTGCTCTGAGGTCTTAGCTAATTGTGTGAAAAGCTGTCTTTGTAGCTGAGAATACAGTTATTTTCCTATGACAGTCTGAGTATGAAAAATATCTGAGGATTATTTCTGTTCATCGGAAATATGCAGCTTAAGCAGAAATCATCTTCCTGACCATCCACAGCTATAAGTGTGCCTAATAGATGGAATATCTACATGAGATAAACACACAAGCAGTGGGAAAACACCCATAGCAGGTTTTAGGGAAGAAATGTAGTGGCACATGAGAAAAACTACAGACAGAGACAACCAGTCATTTACAGTCAATGACCCCATGGTCCTTGCCAAGTGGGGCTCCTCATCAGAGAGTTATTCATCTGGTAGGTCGACTTGTTAAATGCTAGTTGTCACCTGTTGTATATTCCCATGGACTCCGGTACCTCCCCTTTTTTGTTTAATAAAAAAAAAAAAGAAGTGTGTAAATCTCTCTTAGGGCAGTGAGTAATGTGGATAAATTGAAAGCCTAAAGATGATTGGAAGAATGACACGCAATATTGTAATGATTCTGAAATATTTAATAAGAATCAATAATTTGTATTGATATTTAACCAATATTTATATCAATGATCTATTTATAATCAACAATACATGCTTATAATTAATTACAAATCAATAACATATTGTTGGCAAGCTGAGAACTATATAAACACCCTTTAGGTGTAGTAATATATGATCCCAGAACATCTCTGTGGGTTTTTTGTTTTTGTTTTTTGTTTTTTTGAGACAGGGTTTCTCTGCGTAGCTTTGGAGCCTGTCCTGGATCTCGCTCTGTAGGCCAGGCTGGTCTCAAACTCACAGAGATCCAACTGCCTCTGCCTCCTGAGTGCTGGAATTAAAGCACATACCACCCCCAGCCCCAGAACATCTCTGATCCATAAAAGGGAAGAGGAATAATATAAAAATCAGTAATAGTTAATATGACATGATATTTTTGAATGTGTCTAGATATTTTGAATCTGAGTTATAAAAAATAGCTTTTCCTAGAACATTAACTTTATTAATCTTGGACCAATTTCTTTTTGAATGACTAATTGCAATGAAATATTTTTAGGTAAAGAGTTTACCTGAATTAGGGGTGTGTATCTGCTGAACCACGACTGTGGCTGAAGTTGACAAGTATCTTTAAACTTGTAATCAAAGCAATTCATAAACCAATTGGCTATGAGAGGGCAGTAGTAATCTGTCTCAATACATACATAGGAAGATTTTCATACCAGAACAATTGTCAGAAGTACATAAGGAGACTGTGTGATGAAATATATATATATATCAGGATCATGGGCAGAATTCATACAATTAGTAATAAAATTTTTTTTTTAAGGGCAGCCCAGCCCCTGGGCTGGAGAGTTCAGTATAGAAAAAGGGGGAAGGACAAAGGGGTGTAGAATTCTTTCGTGGTTACTTCCTGTTTGGGGCCGAAGCTGGGGTCCTGAAGGCTGGAATGCAGTGGAAGCCCAGGAAGAGCAGACTGTTTTATTTGTCGTCCAGGCTCTTGTGAGATGTGCAGGCAGCTTTGGAGCAGTCTAGGTGGGAGACGACTGCAGTGTATAACTTTTTAAATGATTATAAATCTGCTGGAACAAATATATATTAATGGCAGAACATGAAATTGAGGAATTTTAAAGAGGAAACTTTTTTCTTAGGTGTACATTAGTGGCTCCTGCCTGTAATCTCGAAAGGCTGAGGCAGGTGACTCACTCTAATGATGTCAGCCAGGTCTACATAGTGAGTTCCAAGACAGCCTGGACTCCTGAGGGAGACCACCCTGTCTAAAAAGGAAAGGAAAAGAGGGCTTCACATGGAGGCATACCCCTTTAACCCCAGCACTTGGAGGCAGAGACATGTGGATCTGTGAGTTCGGTGCCAGCCTAGACTACACAATGAGACTTGTCTCAGAAACAAACAGGAAAACAAATTGGGTACGAATCTGTTGCTGAAAAAATGAAGGAAAGGTTTTTTATTCTTCATTAATATTTGTGGGTAGTTAAACAGAATTTAGAAAAGAGGAATCAGATAATGATGGTTGTAGGGTGTATGACATGTGATTTATTTTGACATGTGACTTTTTTCCAGCTTGAAATTCATCTGGACTCCGTACATGTGCATGTTAGCAGCATTTGGTGTCTGTTCCCCTGAACTTTGGATGACACTTTTGAAGTGGCTTCGATTAAGAACTGTACACCCAGTATTGTTGGTGAGTCACTGTTGTCTTGTGTTTAATACTCGTTTATCTTCCAGCTATATAAAATAAAATGCTAGAGTCATAAAGACGGCTCAGTGAGGTAAAGGCACCTGTCCAAGCCTGATGATTTGAGTTCAATCCCTGGGACCCACATGATGGAGGGTGAGAACTGATTCCTGGGAGTGGCTCTGCATGCACGGGTGCGTGTGTGCGCGTGCACACAATTAAATAGATAAATGTGATAAAAAAAATTTAAATGCTAGTCAATGAATACTAAGGCAGTTGAAATAGCCTCAATAAATTATATAACAAGTTTTGGGTATAGCCAGGCGATGGTGGCTTACACCTTTAATCCCAGCACTCAGGAAGTAGAGGCAGGTGAATCTCTTTGAGTTCCAGGCCAGCCAGGGGTATACAGAGAAAGTTATGGGTAGAAAAGTAGACTGTGACAAACATGTTTTAAAATTTATTTATTTTGGTTTTTTAAGACAGGGTTTCTCTGTGTAGCTCTCTGGCTGTCCTAGAACTCACTCTGCTGACCAGGCTGGCTTCCACCTCTGAGATTCACCTGCCTCTGCTTCCCAAGTGCTGGGATTAAAGGCCTGTGCCACCACCACTGGGCTATGAAAAACATTTCAAAAAAGTTTTCATGTTCTTGTTTCAGACAGGGTGCCAGGCTGGCCTGGATCTCACTGTGTGTGAAGGATGATCTTGATCTCCTGATTCTGTTGCCTCCATCTTCCCAGTGCTAGGATATGCAGTGCTAGGGCCTGGATCCAGAACTTCTGGTGTGCTAGCTAGGTTCTCTCTGACTCAGCTGCATCCCCTGCCCTTTATGTTATTGGTTTCTTCATTTGCTTTTGAGACAAGATTGAATGTAGCTCAGGCTGGCCTTGAACTCCTGAACCTGCTGCCATCTCTCAAGTTCTGCACTTATAGGCATGCATCACCACACCCAGTTTTTTTTAAATTCCTCCTAAAGATTTATTTATTTATGTATTTATGTATGTATGTATGTACGTATGTATGTATGTATGTATTTTTATTATGTATACAGACAGTATCCTGCTGGTGTGTGTGCCTGCAGGCCAGAAGAGGGCACCAGATCTCATGATAGATGGTTGTGAGCCACCATGTGGTTGCTGGGAATTGAACTCAGGATGTCTGCAAGAGTAGCCAGTGCTCTTAACTTTTGAGCCATCTCTCCAGCCCCCATACCCGGCTTTTTAAACTTTGTTTTTATTTATTTTTTGTGTCTTTCATATCATGCATCTTGGTCCCATTCATTTCCCTGTCCCTTCGTATCCTCTCTTGGCCCTTGCAATGCGCCCCCCCCCAAAAAAAAATAATAAAAGAAAATTTAAGAGAAAAAAAAAAAGGATACATCTCACATCTCGTTATGAAAGCTGAAATGTGGCCCAGTGAGCCACATAGTGAACCCTTTAGGCCATACATCTTTACTTGTAGGTGTTCATTGCAAAGTGTCATTGGTCTGACTCCAGGCCTCTGATTTCTGCTACACCATCAATATTGGGCCCTCAATGGGACTCCTCTTGGACATCCTGTTGTTGTCCTGTGTCATGGAGATCCTGCTGCTTTGGATCTGCAGGACCGGGCCCCTTCCTGTGTTCCTGAAGATCATAGATGAAGTATAGCCTTTATTTCTAAAAGATTCCTTATTGTGTTATTAGGGCTACCTTCAAACCCCTGGCTTCTAGCAATCCTCCTGCTTCAGCCTTCTGAAGAGCTGAGATCACTCTGTATGATGGGGTTTAGGTTTTAGAATATTTTCTTTGGTTTTACTTAGATCTATGTATGTTCCCATGTGAATATTTACACTGTTCTGCTTCATTCTTCAAGATAAGTAAAATGTTAGAGTCAAGTGTGATAGACTGGGTAGTTTAGACTAGAAGATTCCAAGTTTGGGGTCAGCTTTGGCTACACAGTGATATACTGTCTACAAAACAAAACAGACTGAGGAGGGAAAACTGGGGTGTGACTCAGTGGAGTGCTCGTCTAGCATTCCTGAGCGTTCCAGTTGGATCCCCACCAGCCTACTGCTGTAGACCACGTCTACCTGCAGGGGAAATTTCACGATGATGGTGGTTTTCTCTGAATGAGGCTTACCCATTGTTTCTGAATGTTCTAACCCTGTTATTCCCCAAATATGGGAATCTGGACAGAATCATTTGTGGTAGTGAAAGAGGGCACCGTTCATGCTTTCTGATGGTTTGGAAGGAGATGAAACATTAAAACAACAACCCAACAAACCCCCTACCACAAATAGAATAAGAAGGACAGGTTTGGGCAAGAAGATAATAAATTATACTTAACGGTGGTCTTCTCATATTTTTCCAGTCTTAGTTCCAGAATTTCTATTTTCTCATTTTGACATAGTAAGGTGGTCTGTGCTAGCTATTTTTCCTGTGTGGTTTCGGTGCCTTTTGCTGTTAGCTTTTGATGCTAGTTCATAATTACTTGTAAGCTCTTTATAACAGAGCTCTGGTAGAAGTTTCACATGTTGGTGCTGGAGAGATGGCTCAGCAGTTAAGAGCTGAACTACTCTTATAGAGGACCCAGGTTAGCTTCCCAGCCCCTCTCTCAGGTGCCTTACAAACACCTAGAACTCCAGCTCCAGGGAGCCAGTGCCTTCTACCCACCTCAGGCACCAGCATTCAACATGCATACGTACTCAGAGGTACACACGCCTACATAAATTCAAAATCAAATAAATCTTGAAAAGTTTTACATGTTTGCTATTTGAAATATCACTATGGAAGTTATCTTTTCTAGTTTATTCCATGAGACAGAATCACTCAGACTGGTGTCAAATCCTTAATCCTCCGGCCTATCTCAGTTTTAGGATTATAGGAAACCATAAATTCAGATCAACTAAGCATTAATTTTTTTAATGTTTTAAAAATTATTTTATTTGTTTAGTGACAGAATCTCTCTATGTAGACCAGATTGGCCTTGAACTTCCAGAGATTCCCCTGCCTCTGGCTCCTGAGTGCTGAGATTAAAGGCATGCTCCACCATTCCCTGAAAAATTATTTATCTTATATCTATGTGCACATGTGTACATGAGCCTGTGGGACATTAGGAGAGGGTGTTACAGTCTACTGCCATCTACCATGTTGTTGCTGGGAACTGACCCCTGGTCCTCTGCAAGAGCAGTAAGTACTCTTTAACTGTTGGGCCATCTCTCCAGCACACAGCGTTAACTTTGATTTTGTTTGAGACAGAGTCTCGCCATGTATCCCTGGTTGGACTGGAGCTAGTTCTGTAGACCAGGTGGCCTTGAATGCAGGTCCCAAGTGCTGGGATTAAAGGCGTGTGTTACCATGCTTCCCCCTCCCTTTTTGATGGTCTTCCTTATATAGCAAATATTTTCACTAACACCTCAATGTGTTTGAAGCACATTCATCTTCACTCACGTCACTTTGACCCAGATTCATGCGGATGTCAGTCTTTCTGATTGAATTTTTAGCTATAAGGATATTCAGAGTCACAGAGTCAATGAGAACACTTCTGGCATATATTCTAAAATGTTTACCCATAACCCTTTTTGCTTTACTATTTTAGGCTCTTATTCTGAGCATGGCTGTGCCCACTATTATAGGTCTTAGTTTGTGGAAAGAGGTAAGAGAACTGAATTTTTATATTATGAAAATGTACTTATCTATAAAGTGATAAATTTATGTATGTATATAGGAAGCTTCTATCAAGACACTGCACTAACAAAGCTGATTTTATTTATTTATTTAGGTTTTTCTAGACAGGATTTCTCTGTGTAGCCCTGGCTGTCCTGAAACTCGATTTGTAGACCAGGTGGCCTCGAACTCACAGAGATTTGTCTGCCTCTTCCACAAAGCTGATATTGTTAATGTTGCTGCTCCCTTTTCTTTTCTCTCACTAGGAACCTAACAAAAGAGCTAAAACAAATTCTCTCTCTCTCTCTCTCTCTCTCTCTCTCTCTCTCTCTCTCTTTCCCTGTTGAAGTAGCCCTGGCTGTTTTGGAATTCATTATGTAGATAAGGCAGGTCTCCAACTCACAGAGATCTGCTTGCCTCAGCCTCCCAGGTGCTGAGATTAAACACATGCACCACCAACTTTTGCTCCCAAAACATTTTTTGGTATTTATTTGCTTGTTGTCTTTTGAGACGAGGTCTCACTATATAGCCCAGGCTGGCCTTGAATTTTGATGATCCCCCTGACTCAGCATCTCAAGTGCTGGGATTACACATGTAACCTATCACATCAGCCTAAAACATTTTTAGAGTGCCATTTAATGCGGTTTTCTTTATTTTATTTCATTTTTTTTTGGTTTTTCGAGACAGGGTTTCTCTGTGTAGCTTTGCGCCTTTCCTGGAACTCACTTGGTAGCCCAGGCTGGCCTCGAACTCACAGAGATCCACCTGGCTCTGCCTCCCAAGAGTGCTGGGATTAAAGGCGTGCGCCACCAGCGCCCAGCCTAATGCGGTTTTCTTTAATGCTGTTGTAAATTCTTATCATAACTGACAAAATTGTTGAGCAATAAGTAGGTCTTAATATATATTTTTTTTTTTACATTTTTTTTTTTTTTTTTTTTTTTTTGGTTTTTCAAGACAGGGTTTCTCTGTGTAGCTTTGCGCCTTTCCTGGATCTCGCTCTGTAGACCAGGCTGGCCTCGAACTCACAAAGATCTGCCTGGCTCTGCCTCCCGGGTGCTGGGATTAAAGGCGTGCGCCACCGCTGCCTGAGGTCTTAATATTTAAATGCATTTTGGTAAGTTCAATTTATTATCTGTGAAATGAAATAAAGTTTTTGGCTTAACTGAATATAACAGGGAACTAATTGCCAAGAAACCGATGAAGTATTTGTCCTGGAATTTTATTCTTTAATATGTCTATGCATGAAAGATATAACTGATGATTGTTTAGTGATAACATTAGTTACTGAGTCTAAGCAGTGAGTAAACGATAAAATTAAAATTATTCAGGTTGAGAAGAGTGAATAAATCCGTGACGATGGCAGATACCTGGCAGTTCTGCCAGGTCATTGGTGTTTCAAGTTACTCTTTTGGAATATTCTGAAACAGTTTTAAACTTTACTTACACCTTTGGGTATTTTGTTTTGTGTTTTAGTTTTTTCCAAGGTTAATTACAGAATTAACCGAACTACAGGAATTCTATGATCCAGATACAGTGGAACTCATGACCTGGATAAAGTAAGGACCACATTGCCCAAGACTGTGATAACTGTCATTCAGTAGTCATTGCATGCTGTCTCATGAACTAAGGGATAATAACAAGTGAATTGTTGTTAAGTAGTCATTGCATGCCGTCTCATGAGTTAAGGGGCAATAATAAGTGAATTGTTCTCCACATTCATTTGTAAACCTCAGCAATCATTACTTTATAATTCTAACTTTCTAAATAAGCTCACCTTAATGTTGACACAACATTGGTAAGTATGAAATTTGGAGGTTTGGAGGCCCTCCTTTGCACACAGGAGAAATGTGGGTGGGCTTACAGGGGCAGGCATCCTTTACTCCTGGCCTTAAGGTAGATAACTCTGGGACTCAGAAAAGGCTGTACTTTCAGGGAAAATATCGAATAACAAAATATCCAAAATAGCCATGCTCCTCTGTTAGTTAGCTCTTGGTTAGAAACAACCACAACAATAAAAAGTCAAATTCATCTCTGAGTTTGTAGTAATGGATCTGAGTTCACATAGGCTTAGAGTTTGAAATTAAACTTGACTGATTTAGGAAACCCAAGGTATTGAAGTGTTCATAAAAAGTAGTACTGAGTTGGTTCCCTCTCAACTCATGTTATACAGAATTTCATAAATAGTTTTATGAAACTCCAAAATAAAAAACAAATGAGAAAACAATTCAGTTTAGCAAATATCAACTATTACTTGTAATAAGTAGTGGAATTAGACTTTGGTAATTTCTGATAATTTTTGTTCTTTCATTTTTGGTATGTAACAGACTGCCATAAACTTCAATGAATTATCGGTGATCAGTAATTACTGTTCTGCATATTTTTGAGGTCATCAAGTGGTTACACAGCGGGGAAAACTCTTCTGGCCTTGCCCGGCTCAGGTGGGCCTGGGTAGTCTGAGATGGCCTCTTTTCTTTTGCCTGTCTGTGTTTGACTAGTTGTCACCTGAGATCAGATTAGCGTGGCCTGTAGTAGCTGAAGAATTAATTCTCAGGATAAACAGAATGGACATGGTTCGATGTAAACACGCAGTCTATAATATTGTGCTGTGATAAAACACTATGATAAAAGCATTTTGGAGAAGAAACAAGTGTTTAATATCATATACACTTTTGTATCACAGTCCATCACTGAAGGAAGTCAGAACAGGAATCTGTAGGCAGGAGCTGATATAGAGGCTGTGGAGGAGTGCTGCTTACTGGCTTGCTCTGTATGGCTTATTCAGCCTGCTTTTTTATTGGGGGGTGGAGTTGAGACAGAATTTCTCTGTGTAACAATCCTGGCTGTCCTAGGACTAGCGCTGTAGACCAGGCTGGCCTCAAACTCACAGAAATCCACCAGCCTACACCTCCCGAGTGTTGGGATTAAGGGTGTGTGCCACCACTGCCCGGCCAGCCCGATTTCTTATAGCACCCAGGACCACCACTCCCAGTGAAGTGGGTTCACCTATATATCAGTTGTGAGTCAAGAAAATGCTCCACGGACTTGCTGATCGTATGGAGACATTTTCAGTTAAGAGTCCCTCTTCCAGGGCTGGAGAGATGCCTCAGTGATAAGAGCCCTGAATGCTTTTCCAAAGGACCCTGGTTCATTTCCCAGCACCCACATGGCAGCTCACAACTGTCTGTAACTCCAATTCCATGGCAAAACAACAATGCACATAAAAAATTAAAAATTAAAAAAATAGAGTCCGTCTTCCCAGATATGTCTCTAGTTTGTGTCAAGTTGACATGAAACTAGCCAGCACACACAGCTGTTGTCCTATTGATCTGACAAATCACATGGCTAGGATTAGCATTTCCCTCCATATCCATGACTAACAGAGAGAAGAATTACTGCAGCTATTTTTGTGATCAATCTACCCTTGGATAGACTTCCAAATAACTATGTTGAAAGTTGTTAAAGATCCAGTGAAGAAACAAAACACACAAAAAAGAGGTGAAACACTTTTAAAAAGTCTTGGAGCCGGGCAGTGGTGGCGCACGCCTTTAATCCCAGCACTTGGGAGGCAGAGGCAGGCAGATCTCTGTGAGTTCGAGGCCAGCCTGGTCTACAGAGTGCCAGAACAGGCACCAAAACTACACAGCGAAACCCTGTCTCGAAAAACCAACCAACCAACCAAACAAACAAACAAACAAACAAACAAACAAAAGTCTTGGAAGAGGCTGGGTGGTTGTGGCAGTACGCTCCTTTAAGTCCAGCACTTGGGAGGCAGAGGCAGGCAGATCTCTATGAATTTAAGGCCAGCCTGGTCTACAGATCGAGTTTCAGGACAGGCTCCAAAGCTACACAGAGAAACCCTGTCTCCAAAAACAAAAAAACAAAAGTCCTGGAAGAGCCAAACCTGGTAGCAAATAACTGTAATGTTGAGTACTTGGGAGACTGAGGCAAGGGGGGATTATTGTAAGTTTGAGACCAACCTAAGCTAAAGAGTGAGACCCTCGTGGTGGTGGTTGTTTTTAAGGCCTGGAAAATAAAGGAGATGGAACCAGAAAATACTTATAGAAATGACAAGTTTGTTTATAGAATGAGTGAATAGAAGTGAGAATAGGTCTTATAATGAGGTCTTACTTCTGTAAAGACATTCCATATATATTTGAACGTTTTGGGGTTACCTTAACCATTGCTACTAATAACTAATGTGAGTTACAGTTGCTGTTGGGGAGCATGACAGTGTAGCACTATGTCGTCATTAACAAAAAAAGGAAGTCGAGTCATGTATCACCAAATTTTTCAACACATTACAAAGCTCAGCAGTGATAGCGCACACTAGTCCCAGCACTCTGGAGACAGAGGCAGGTGGATCTCTATGAGTTTCAGGACAGCCTGGGCTACAGAGTAGGTTCCAGGGCAGCCAGGGCTGCACAGAGAAACCCTTTCGTTAGGTAGAGGGTGGAGGAGAGTATGGCAAAGGCCTGAATAGTTGAATAATTGGATATTTACCTAAGTATAATTATTTTGGCTTAAGTCTGTTTCCTTACTTCTGAGTCTTCCATTAGCCAGGTGCTGTTCCTTTTCTTCCGGAACTTAGCTCTATCCATGGAACAGGTAGGCAGATGCTGAATAGTGCATACTTGGAGTGAATAGATAAATTAAGGGATGGCTGAAGGTACAATTCAGAGGTAGAATGCATATGTGCCTGTGTCTTAGGGTTTCTATTGCTGTGAAGAGACATCATGGCTATGGCAACTCTTCTAAGAAAAGCATTTAATTGGGGTGGCTTGCTTACAGTTTTAGAGGCTCAGTTCATTATCATCATGACAGGGAGCATGGTGATGTGCAGGCAGACATGGTGCTGGCTACATCTTGATTGGAGGCAACAGGAAGTGATATGTCTCCCTGGGCTGTATCTTGAGCTTATATGAGACCTCAAAGCCTGCCCCCACAGTGACACACTTCCTCCAAGGCCACACCCACTCCAACAAAGCCACACCTCCTAATAGCGCTACTCCCTACCAGCTTATGTGGGCCAATTACCTTCAAACTGCCACAGCGTGTGTGCACCATGGTATGTGTGTAGAAGTCAGAAGACAATTTACAGGAGTGAGTTATTTTCCCTTGGTCCTGGGCTCAAGCTCATGCTATCCAATCTGGCAGCAGGCATGCTGAGCTCTGGTCAGTCTGATAGAGCACTTTTAATCATACACGGAGGCTCTGAGTTCCACCCTAGCACTGTGGAAATAAATGGAAGGAAGGATGTTGGTGTTGGTTTCCCACCCTGTAAGTGGCATCCTAGACTTCGCAGTGGACTCAGTGTGGAGTCGTCTACGCTGCTGTCAGGAGACAGAAGGAGCAGGATGGGGAATGGATGTGGAAGGATTTGAGTTCTGTGGGTTAGTACCCTCTGATGTAGTATATTCTTGTTTCTTATCTCCACCTCCCTTTGTTTAAAAGAATCTATCTTCAGTGCTTAAAACAGTTGCTGGCAAATGGTAGATGTTCATTCTAGCCTGCTTTTAATGAATGCATAAGTGAAATGAACTGCATTGACTTTGAAATCTAAGTGCTAGACATGGAAAGTAGCTGGTATTTGAGAGTTGGTACAGGTCAATGATCTTAGTAGTGTATTTGCTCTTTTATCACGTAATCTGTTGGCTCTTTACAGGAGGCAAGCTCCCGTTGCAGCTGTGTTTGCTGGAAGCCCACAGTTAATGGGTGTGATTAAACTGTGCACTGGATGGATGGTGACAAGCTTGCCACTTTACAGTGATGATGATCTTCTCAAGAGAAATGAAAACGTAAGCCATCAAGTTCTACATTGGAGTCTTTTAAAGTGACACTATAATTTAATCTTGTTCTGTGCTGATCCATGTTTCTTGATAGACAGGAAAATCCAATTTTAGAAGATGTAATTCAGTTTAGTTTTTAAAGTTGTGGGAGGTTGAAACAGGAGGGCCACTGTGAGTTTGATGTCGACTTGTGCTCCACAGGGAGTTTCAGACTAGCCAGAGCTACAGAGCAGGACCATCTCAAAAATGAAAAATAGAAAAAGAAAAAAAGGTAAAAGTTGTATGATTAATTTAATTTAACCAAGAGATAATTCAAGATTAAAATATTAAATTTTTTTTGCTGGGCGGTGGTGGCGCAGGACTCCAGAACCAGAGGCAGGTGGATCTCTGTGAGTTTGAGGCCAGCCTGGTCTACAGAGTGAGTTTCAGGACAGACTCCAAAGCTATACAGAGAAACCTTGTCTCAAAAACGAAGGCAACAACAAACTATAATATTAAATTTTTATTTTGTGAAGAGTGTTGCTACACTTCTGTGAGAGGTAGTTTCCATAACGCTGTCACTGGAATGGATGGATAATATTTCAGAAAGGGAAACCATCCTTCTAAAGTATCATGACTCTCAAATTGTTGAGGAAAACTGTCAATTCCTATCTCAATACACGTTGTCTTTCCAAAGTTATTCTATTGCTAATAAAATACAAATATAATTTAGAAGCTGTGGGTCTAGAGAGAGCGCAGTGAGTGATGTGCTCACTGTGCAAGTGTGAGCACCTGAGTTTGGAGCCGTACCACCTATATTAAGAGCCACGTGTGGCAGCATGCACATCTGTCCCAGTGCTGGGAGTTGGAGACAGAAGGATCCTTGGGGCTTGATGACCAGCCATTTTAGCCCAATCAGGGAGTTCCAGATTGAAATAGACACTTTCAAAAATCAGGTGGAGTGCCGGGTGGTGGTGGAGCATGCCTTTAATCCCAGTACTTGGGAGAGGGCGGGAGTCAGATCTCTGTGAGTTTCAGGCCAGCCTGGTCTATAGAGCAAGTACAAGGATAGCTAGGGTTGTTGCACAGAGAAACCCTGTCTCAAAAAACCAAAATGAATGAATGAATGAATGAATGAAATAAAAAATAAAAGATGGAGAGAGATTGAATAAATCAACTGATGTACACTCCCTGCCTCCCACCCCCCAAAACAAATATGTACTGTTTTGATTTATCCAGGAGTGTTAGCATCCTTATAATCCCAGCTATTTGGAAGATAGAGGCAGATAATAGCAATTTCAAGATCAAGCTAGGAAACAAGCAATTGCTTGGGAAAAAAAATTAAGCCTGGGCATGTAGCTCAATGGTACTGTTTGCCTGCCATTTATAAGTCCCTAGATGGGGTAGATGTTAGGGTGGCCCATGTTAGCCTGGGAATGTGACTCAGTGGTACTGTTTGGTGGTCACTCACAATTCCCTGAGTCAATCCTTTGTACTGCAAAAACCAGTCAACTAGCCAACTAACCGACCTGTGGAGTTCCTTCTTCTTTATCGGTACGGGCTTTAATAAATAATTTTGTAAAACATCAGAATGGCACCTAATTAATGTGGGTTAGAGAATGTCTTATTTTGAATGTTATGGATTTAAATGATAAGTTTAGGAGCTGGAGAGATGGCTCAGTGGTTAAGAGCACTGACTGCTCTTCCAGAGGACCCGGGTTCAATTCCTAGACTCACATGGCAGGCAGCTCATAAACTGCCTGTAACTCCAGTTCTAGGGGGTCCAGTGCCCCCTTTTGGCCTTCATAGGCATCAGGCATGCACATGGTGCACAGACATACATACAGGCAAAACATCCAAATGCATAAAATAAAAAATAATTTTAAACAAATACTGCTTGGTGTGTGGTGGTACACACCTTTAACCCTAGCACTCTCGAAGCAAATGCGGGGTGGGGATCTATGTGACTTTGAGGTCAGTGTGGCCTCTCTACATGGCTAATTCCAGGACAGCCAGGACTCTGTGACACAAATGGTAGTTCTGTACATTATCTTGAATGAGCTACTGAATCTGGAAATAAAAGTTATAGTTTTTCCTAGTTATGAGAATTAAATTACTAAACAATTGTAAATTACTGAAACAAAACTTCAAAGGATTCTTTTTGTTTGTTTGTATTGAGAAAGAGGGTCTCAAGTTTTGTATGTAGTCAAGGTTAGCCTTGAACTCATGATTCTCCTGATTCCACGTCCCCAAGTACTAGGATTATAAGAATGTTCCACTGTGCTCAGAATGTACTGTTAAATTGTAGTTATATGTGCATGGATATATATACACATCCAGTACAGAGAGTTCAAAGGCAGGAATAATTAGTTCTGCTCACAAAACCTTAAGAATTCATCCCAAATTAGGTCATTCTCTTTGATCTCATCATTGAAGACTGGTGAGATACTTGTTTGGAAATGGAATATATGTGATTAGATGCTGAAAAAGTAACACAAACCAGAAATGTGTGTAGCTATGTAACTAGAAAATGTAACTGTGTATCTAGAAAATATAACTATGTATCTAGAAAACGTACCGGTAACTTGAAAATACACCTATGTAACTAGAAAATATAACGGTGTAACTAGAAAATGTGACTAGAAAAATGTAACTATGTAACCAGAACATATAACTATGTAACAGAAAATGCAGCTTCGTGGCTAGAAAATGTAACTATATAACTAGAAAATGTAACTACGTAACTAGAAAATATAACTGTGTATCTAGAAAATGCAACTATATAACTAGAAAATACAACTATGTAACTAGAAAATGTAAAGGTATAGAAAATGTTATGGTGTAACTAGAAAATGTAACTATGTATCTAGAAAACGTAACTGTAACTTGAAAATACAACTATGTAACTAGAAAATGTAACAGTGTAATTAGAAAGTGTGACTAGAAAAATGTAACTATGTAACTAGAACATGTAACTATATAACAGAAAATGCAACTATGTGGCTAGAAAATGTAACTATGTAACTAGAAAATGTAACTATCTAGAAAATGCAAATATGTAACTAGAAAAATACAACTATGTAACTAGGAAATGTAACTGTATTTAGAAAATGCAACTATGTAACTAGAAAATGTAACAGTGTAACTAGAAAATGTTATGGTGTAACTTGAAAATATAACCATGTAACTAGAAATTTTCAACTATGTAACAGAAAATGCAACTATGATTAGAAAATGTAACTGTGTAGCTAGAAAATGTAACTATGTGACTAGAAAAGATGACTTTGTAACTAGATGTAACTATGTGACTAGAAAATGTAACTATGTGACTAGAAAATGAAACTATGTAACTAGAAAATGAGGTCAGTTTTTTGTGGACCTGTGGTGTCATGCTGAGGAATTTAGGTTGCCCTTGAGGCAGCTGGGAAACATGAAAGGCTAAATAATTAAGCCTTATAGTGGAATAATTAGATGTGTAATCCTAGCACTTGGGAGATAGAGGCAAGGGTTGCAGTTAAGTTCAAGGCCAGCCTGGAGTATAAGTGAAACTTTGTGTCAAAGAGCCAAAAAATAAGGCTGGAGAGATGGCTCAGAGGTTAAGAGCACTGGCTGCTCCTCCAAAGGTCTTGAGTTCAATTCCCAGCAACCACATGGTGGCTCACAACCATCTGTAATGAGATCTGGTGCCCTCTTTTGGCCTTCAGGCATACATGCATGTAGAACACTGTATACGTAATAAATAAATCTTTAAAAAAAGAGCCAAAAAATATTTTCAAAAGGGATAAAGGGAAAGTTCATTATAGTCTCGAGAACATATCAAAGCAGGTGGAGAGGACAGAGATAGGGAGATAAGCTTATGGGTGGCCTGCCTCAAGAGGAAGCCGTCAGTTCTGATTAACATTTGCTGTATTCAAAGAGATGGTGGTGTTTTGGTAGAATATGGACAGGGATTCCTAAGAAACCATCAATTCCAGCTTTTTGTTTTTGAGACAAAAATCTCACTGTGTAGCCCAGGCTACCACAATGCCCAGCTTCTCTTTTTTCTTTTGTTAGGACTTTCCCCTAATATGGTGTTTCAGAATCACTTATAATTTGATCAGAGTTCTAATTACTTTGTTTTATGGAACTCAGCTCCAAGAATAGTAATCATAGTTTGTTTATTTTGCTTTTTCAGAGTTTGCCTTTTTTTACAGTATCTAGTAAACAGCAGTTCCTGAATAATTTTGTCTAATCACAACCCAGGTGAAGCTCCCCAGAGATGAGACAGGTCATCTAGTTAGACAGTATCTCTAGTTTGTACTACAAGACCAATCTTGTATAATCTCTTACACTGTTTGTCAACCCAGGAAGCGTTTGCGTGGAGAGGACATTTGGTACTGTCTAGAGACGTATTTGGTTGTCGGTCGTCACTAGAGATAGAGTTCTGTGGGCATCGAGCAGGTGCTGGCCAAGCGGTGCTGGTAAACACCCCTACAGTGGGCAAAATAGCCTCTGTCCTATCCCCAGAATGAAGTATTTGGCCCCAAATTTCTATCATACCAAAGTTGAAACACTCCTCTAGTCTCTTAGTAATGTTGACATTTCACAGAATTTTATTTTAAAGATTCTTTTAAAATTTTTATTCATGGCTGAATGTGTCTGCATTTCTGTGTATGTATTTGGGTTCATTTGGAGGCAGAAGGGTGTGTCAGATCAAAAATTTGAAAATATAGGCATTTTTTTCAAAGGAGAAAAACATTCAAATGACTAATTTGTATATGAAAGGTGCATAACTTCGTTAACCATCAGGAAAATGAAAGTCAAATTCACAACTAGATAACTCTACAGACCAAGTGGGATAGCTAAAATCAAAGAGACAAATAAGCTGGGCTTGGTGATGAGCACCTTTAATCCAGCACTGAGGGTTGTGGTGGGTAGATGCAGGCTAATCTCTGTGAATCCAAGGGCAGCCTGGTGTACATATCAAGGTCAAAGTCTGCCAGGGCTATGTAAAGACCCTGCCTCAAAAAACAAACAAAAAGGGCAAAAAAGTGTTACTTAGGATTTAGATAGATAGAACCAAACCCTGTACACAGTTTGTGGGAAACTAGTCAGAGTCTTCACAAAATTAATTACAGTTACCTTATGACATAGCAATTCTGGTCGAAATGTATGTCCTGCACAAAACTCCTACGTGAATACTCATGTACATTATTCATAATGGCTTCCAAATACAAGCAACCAAAATGTTTATTAACTGATGATAAACAAAATGTTTTATCCTTATATTAATAGAGTAAATATTTGGTTTTGAAAGATAATGAAGTACTTAAAGATGTTACAGTACAGTATGGATGAGTTAGGCAAGCTTCATGCCAAATGAAGGAAGTCAGTCACAAAGAATCCCATGTTATAGATCCCATGGATTTCAGATGTCTAGAATAGATACTTTAGTAGAGACATTGTAGATTATTGGTTGTATAGGAATGAGGCAGGCAGGTTGAGAGGTAACAGACAAGATACACATCTTTTCTTCTTTAGGATAATGCAAGTGGTCTAAAGTTGTATTGGTAGATGTACAACTCTGTACATATACTAAAAATCATTAGCTGGTGAATTGTATACTATTGAATTGTATTTTATTTTATTTTTATAATCGTGTGTATACCAGGTGGGTGTATGTGCATGTGAGCACCGCTGTCTGAGGGATCCAAAAGAGGCTGTTGTACTCCCTGCAGATTGAGTTATAGCCATTGTGAACTACCTGATATAGATGCTGGTAACCAAACTCAGGCCCTCCGCAAGAGCAGGTCATGCGCTTAACTGCTGAGTCGTCTGTCCATCCCTGTGAAGTGTATTTTATTCAAGTTGTGTAATTTTAATTAACAGGTGCTTTCAACGTCCTTTAAATTTTGTCCTAATTATTTCCTTTCAGATTTTCCAAATCTATTCAAAGCGATCTGCTGAGGATATTTATAAAATCCTGACATCTTACAAAGCTAACTACCTCATTGTAGAAGATGCCATCTGCAATGAGATGGGAACCGTGAGAGGCTGCAGGGTTAAAGACTTATTAGATGTTGCAAATGGACATGTAAGTAACTATTTAAAAAGTTGACTGTTTCTTAGAGGAATGCCTTTCTTTAGCCTTGTCGTCCTCCTCCATGAACTCCAGCTGCTCTGGCAAGCCAGCTGCCCTCTCCACGAGTAACGCACACGCGGCTTGCCTAGCAACCAAGGAGACTCACAGGGAGTTTACAAGTCTGATAAGTAGTACCCACGGGAATAGATGCTTTTACTCCTGAGAAAGCTAGGCTGGAGGACTTGAGAAAAAGATAGATCATTCTGAGTTGTAGGGCAAAGTCTGTTTAGGCCGCAGCCAGGATTTTTGTTATACGAACCCTAATTGCTCTTATAATAAAAAGCCTGGAGACAGATACTGGGCTAAATGCTGAAAGATCAGAGAGACAAAGGAGCAAGCCACTAGAGAAACTTCTCACCATTCCTGAATCCTCAGGCTGAATGGGAGGCAAGATCCTGTTGCCACGAGCCTCTGAGTCCTCAGCTGAAAAGGCTCTAGTTCCTGTCTCCTCACGCCTTATATGCCTTTCTCCACCCAGCCATTTCACTTCCTTCCTAGTGCTGGGATTAATGGCCTCTGTGCTTCCCAGATACTGGTACCAAAGGCATGAGATCTCAAATGATGGGATTAAAGGTGTGTGATTCCCAAGTACTGGGGTTAAAGGTGTGTGCCACCACTGCCTGGCTCTGTTTTTCTCCTAGACTGAATCAATCTCATGTGGTCCAGGGTGGCTTTGAACTCAGAGAGATCTAGACAGATTTATAGGATTAATTGTGCGTGTTACCACTGCCTGGCCTCTGTGTTTAATCTAGTGGCTGGCTCTGTCCTCTGATCCTCAGACAAACTTCCCGCCCCCCTCAATTATTTATTTATTTATTTACTTATTTATTTATTTATTTATTTATTTAGTATTTTGCCTGCATGTATGTCTGTGTGAAGGTAGATCTTGGAGTTAGAGACAGTTGTTAGCTGCCATTTGGGTGCTGGGAATTAAACCCGGGTCCTCTGGAAGAGCAATCAGTGCTCTTAACTGCTGAGCCATCTCTCCAGCCCTGCAGGCTTTATTTGATACACAATACGTCACCACAGATTTTTTTCTTTCCCTTCTGAAACAATCATGTTTGTCTTACTAAGCCAAGAGCAGTTTGGAGGTGAAGAATTTGTTTTCACAGTTCGCATCTTTCAGGATTGGAGAGGTGACTCAGCATTTAAGAGCCCCTCTTGCCCTTGAAGAGGACTGAGATTCAGGTCTCAAGACTCACAGAACAGCTCACAACCTTCTGTGACTCAGTTTGAGGGAATCTGATGCCCTCTTCTGGCCTCTGAGAGCACTTTGTGCATGCAGGGCACATATACATGCAGGCAAAACACATACATAAAATAAAAATGTCTTTAAAAATTTTCTCATTCTCGCCGTGCGGTGGTGGCGCACGCCTTTAATCCCAGCACTCGGGAGGCAGAGCCAGGCGGATCTCTGTGAGTTCGAGGCCAGCCTGGGCTACCAAGTGAGTCCCAGGAAAGGCGCAAAGCTACACAGAGAAACCCTGTCTCGAAAAACCAAAAAAAAAAAAAAAAAAAAAATTTCTCATTCTCATGTCTTTGTGACCCAATAAGCTTGCATTGTAAATTTACTTATGGTGTGTGTATTTTGAATGTTCTCAGGGGTGCTTGATAATGTGATTTTGGTTTATTGATGATGGATAGACTGTAATCAAGAAGTGATATTCAGTAATTACTGATACATTTCTGTTTGCTCTCTGCTGCCTTCCTATTCTTGTTTAAAATTTATTTATTTATTTTACATTCCAACTGCAGTTTCCCCTCCCTCCTCTCCTCCTATCACACCTCCCTGCTAATTCACTCCTCCTCTGTTTCTGTTCAGAAAGGGGCAGGCCTCCCGTGGGTATCAATAAAGCATGGCACATCAGGTTGCCTTTCTGTTCTTTGGGGCCCTTTGTGCTCTTTCTTTCATGTAATACCAGACATAGACTTAAGCTACTTTACTATTAGCATTGACTGTCCAATGTCCATTATAGGTTTTACAATCATATTATAAAAACAAGCAAACCCGAGGCAGCAAGCTAGCTTAGTGGGTAAAGATTTGTTTCCAAGCCTGACAACCTGAGTCCCATCCCTGGGACTCTTGAAAGTGGTCCTCTGACTCTCTCTCTCTCACACACACACACACACACACACACACACAATGTAATGTAATGGAAAACCCACAAAACTTAAACTTAGCTGAGCTATGGTGGTGAGAGCATTGTCAGATGGGAATGTAAAAGCCTAACACTAGGGAAGTGTCACGTGTGCTTGCTTACTAGGTGGTTATGGGTCCTGGGTATGTTTATTTTTCATCCTTAGAAGCTGTATAATTGAGTTCAGAGCAGTGATGGCAGATCATAGAGACAATGTCAGCTAAATTTTAGTATTAAATCCTTTACAAATTGCAAACATTTTATGCTTATTTCTCTGTCAAAGTTCAGGAGTTCAGTGGTCATGAGGACTTAGGAGAAGGCTTAAATTTGCTAAATAGCATAAGATATTTTATAGTCATGTTTAGCAATGATAATATTCATATACACACACACACTAGTACAAGGATTATATTCCTAGTAAATTTAGTAAGTTTTTTTATATTGTTTCTTATTTTTTGATAGGTGGTTTGTGAAGAAGGTGACAAATTAACCTATTCAAAGTATGGACGGTTTTGTCATGAGGTCAAAATTAACTATTCTCCATATGTGAATTACTTCACTCGCGTGTACTGGAACAGGTCCTACTTCGTATATAAAGTCAACACTGTGATATCCTTCCAGTCTTGAAAATATCAGAGCCTTCACTTCAAAGACCTACTACTTGAAGTAGAATGCAGTTTTCTTGGACCTCCACAGTGTCTTGCAGATGGAGTGTGGATACCTGGAGTGCCGTGGCTCTTCCCACGCCCGCTGCTGATTCCTGGGTTTAGGGTTTTGTTGGAACAGAAGGTCAGATGTCGCTGTCTTAGTAAAATGTCAAATCCACCGCTGCAATCTTCTGACAGCTTTCTTCCTTAGTACACGATTTAAACATTTCCCCGCTGCATCGTCTCCTTATAAATCTTACCTATCATAATATTGATCTTTAATTTGGGTATTTTCAAGGTCAGTGTTTACGTCAAAAACATAATTTTTAATAAGTACTTAATGTGTGATTTTATTCTATAGTAGAAGAGAAAATTCTCCAAGCAAGTTTGTAACAGATGTAAATTTTTTACAATTAAAAAAAATTTAAATGTTAGTTAAAAATATGTGACATTTAAATTTAAAGGGAAATAACATAAAGGAAAGTGATTGTTTTTATGATACTGATCCTGTCATCTGCTGCCCAAGTAACGTAGCACGTTCTTAGCAATACATAGGACGAATAGTACATTTAATTCTTTCATGGCTATTAAGTGATTGCCTTTTCTCACTTATGCCCATTAAGTTGATAACAATCATGCTAGAACAATAACTTGTGTTTGTTTGTATATATGTGTGTGTGTGTGTGTGTATATATATGTATATATATATGTCCATATATACACACACACACACGTATATATGGACATTTAAAAGAATTTTACGTTTTTTTGGATGTGGAGTATACAGTCCAATCACATGTTTTCTATGGACGTATTCAGTAAAAATAATTAACACTGTCACAGTAATGATATGTACACTACCATGGGCATCAGCTTCTAGAGGTGTCTGCAGACACTTTTAAACACACCTCTGCATATAGGTGTATTGGTTATAAGGTGTAACCAATAAAGTGATGTTATTCATGAAACATTACGTGTTTAACAGAGCAAAATGAGAGTTAAATAAAATTTTCAATAATTCACAGCATAAATGCCACATTCCTTTGTGTATTTTCAATTTTGTATCATTAAAAGAAATTCTAAGCCAGTGTAGTGACTCGTGCCTTTAATCCCAGCATTTGGGAGGCAGAGGCAGGCAGATCTCTTTGAGTTCCAAGACAGCCAGAGCTATGTAGTCAGACTCTGTTTGTGGGGAGAAAGAAATTGTAATTAATTTGGCCTGTTAAATAGATTCAGGATAGATGAAGCCTGTAGAGAAATGATTTTAAAAATGAATATTTAATTTTATATTATACAGTTGTTCAGTGAACAGGTTCTCTTTTTATTTGTTAGAGTGCTTTAAAATTGCATTTTCAAAACTCCATATTATTAGGAGGAAAATATTTTCTTTCTTTTTGTATTATATATATATATATATATATATATATATATATATGTGCATATATTTCTTTTCTTTTTCAAGTATGTGCACTTCTTTAAGATGCTTTACCATTGTGCAGCTTTACTGACATCTGTCACACCATCTGGCTTAGTGTCATTGGTCCCGTGTGCTCTTTTACATAACTTATTTCAACGACAGAAAAGCAGCTGTGGCAGCGGATCTGACTGTCTGAAATCCTTGGTAGTCAGTAGTGGTTAGCATCGGGCTTCATGAAAACTTACCAGCTACTCAAGTACACAGTGAGTAGTCATGTGGTCCCTTAAGGGTGAAGCATGAAGAAACAGCTTACATACTGTAAAGGGAAGCCCAAACCCTGTTTCCCTTGGAATAGGAAGTATTCAGTTGAGTTTTTACTGACGTGATAATGTGTGGTCTTTTAGTTTTTGTTTTGTTCGCTGTAATAGTAAGTTGCTTTGCTTGTCAACATATTTCTTAAATATATAGAGAATTTTTTAATTAAAAGTTTATAATTAGTCCCAGGCATAGTGGTGCACTCTTTTATTCTTAGCACTCAGGAGGCCGAGGCAGGAGGATCTCTGGGTTCAAGGCCACCCTGGTCTACATAGTGAGTTCTAGGATAGCCAAAGTTACATAGTGAGACTCTCTCTCAAAAAACAAAACAACAACAACAACAACAACAACAACAACAAAAAGGTTTATAATTAACTGTCACTCAGCATCAACTGAAACAGAAAAGTAAGCTTTATTGTAGAAATTATAATACTGGCTGTGACTGTGTAGGTCAGCGGTATAGTGCTGGGTTAGCACACACAAGGCCCTGGGTCAGTCTCCAGCACTGCCGGGAAAAAATAAATAAATAAATAAAAAAGAAGGGGAGATGATAATGTTAGGTATGAGAGATAAGTTGATTCACTTCCATCTTAACTGTCACTAACAGGAGAAAACTGTGTTGAAAGCATTTAATTATTTACTTAGTAACTTGTGGAGTAACAGCTGAAAACCTCTGCAAGTAGTTCGAACTGCCAACCTAGCAGCTGTCGAATTCAACAGTGAAGCCCCATTGATGAAGCAGTTATGGGAGTGAATGGGAAGGAATTCCTCAAAGAAAGAGAAAACATTTTTGCTTTTAATATAACAAACCCATCAAAATAAGTGCCTTAACTTCTTCATTTATAAATTCATTTTCTATTTCATATCATATTACTCATTTTCTTTTCCATAAGAAAATATTGGTAACTTTTTCGACATTGAAAAAATACAGTAAGGCTGAGGAGGTAGTCCCATGGCGGAGCACTTTCTTAGTGGACAAGAGACCCTGGGTTTATCCCCAGCACAACAAAAAAATCAAATGTCTCCATGCCATTGCCACTGTTAACTTCAATTCAGTAATAAGCAAATCTTTGTCAGGAACTTACAGTCCCCTAAGTCAATTTGTGTAGCTTCTTGAATGCCAAATAGTCTAACAAGTGAAACTGACGTGATAAGGGAAGTAATATGGACTCTGAGTTTAGTAATGTTTTTATGACTTTGGCGTCTGTATCCTGGTGTTTTGCATTGTACTGGCAGACTTTTACAATCTATGTGATGTACTTCAGCACTAACTTTACACACACACACACACACACACACACACCCACGCACGCACGCACGCACGCACGCACGCACGCACACACGCACGTGCACGGTGTTTTCTTTCCAGGTCAGTAACCCAAATTGCCGTACCAGCCAGATTCAGTCAACAAAGAAGGAGAAATGGAAGTCAAAGTGTTAACAATTTGTGGCTGAAAGTAGATTATTAATTTCTTGTATAAAATTACTTTAGTTTTGAGAAATCTTCTTTGGGACCTCTTATTTTTGAATTGCTAACACATTTGATGCCTCATTTTGTATAAAAGTAGTATTTTTTTCAGTTGGCAGAGTTTTCAACAGTTCTATGTAAACTGATCTTTTGGTAAATTTATTTTTAATGCATGAATATCTCAAGGACATACGCTACTAATTCTGTATATTTCAGAACCTTTTTAAAGCTAATAATTACTTTCTAATTTGTATCTTAGTATCCTTTCTTCTTTTATCCAGCTTTTAACATATCTAGTCTTGCTCTGTGTGGTGGTGCACACCTGTGATCCAGCATTTGGGAGGGAGAAGACAGGAGGATCAAGTGTTCAAAGTCATCCTCAGCTACATCAGTGAGTTTGAGGCCAGCCTGGGTTGCATGAGCCCCTCTGCAAAGAAAAAAAAAATCCAAAAATTAAATGCAGATTCTCTATTGTTGCTATTTGCTAATAGTGTTTAGACTCAATATGTATTAGAATTCTGGCTCTGGCCTGGCAGTGGTGGTGCACACCTTTAATCCCAGCACTGGGAGGCAGAGGCAGGCAGATCTCTGTGAGTTCAAGGACAGCCTGGTCTACAGAGTGAGTTCCAGGACAGCCAAGGCTACACAGAGAAACCCTGTCTCAAAAAAACAAAAACAAAAACAAACAAAAAAGAATTCTGATTCTGCAAATTACAAGGAAAATCAAATAAGTTCTCACTAAAATTACTGAGTTTTTTAATGTATAAGGTTAATGCTTTAAATAAAATTAGAAGCAATGCTGCAAAAGAATATATATGACAGCTTATTTTCTAAATAATATATTTGCTTCTGTAATAAAATGGACATTTTGGAACCAAATGTGTTGAATTCAGTATAAAGGTTTCTTTGGATTGTTTCTGCTTCTGTCTCCTGGAATGGCAACATTGTAATCTTGACATTAGAATACTATGTGCAATTCTATGAGCAGTAGACTTTACTTGTGATTGTTACCTGTGTTTTGTGAATGATGGCATAAGAGAAACCTTCAGTATCATATAAGTCACCCTTCCCTGTTTTGAAGCCAATAGCCTTGCACAGATGCTAACAAGAGTGAACACAGCTCCCTTTATGTAGGTTGGTCTGAGTCATATCTACAATGATGTGTATTTAGATTGTATGTGTTCCTCCTGTAACCGAGGTTACATCTCTGCAAAATTATACAGCGTCAGTAAATACAAATACTTTAAAAGAGTTGTCTATGAACAGTTTTAGTCCATATTTGGTAACATTAATATTGGTTTTTCAGTGATGAAGTTCTTTCATGCTCGTTTACCCTTGTTTTGTTTTCATAATAAAACTTCCCAGAATTTTAAGCTGTCTCTTATTCATGCTTGTCAAATTTATTGAGATATAATTAATGCATTGTTCAACTCACTCATTTAAGTGTACAATCAGTGGTTTTCAATAGTATTCAAGGTTGTGCAGTTATCACCACAACCAATTTCAAGACGTATTCATCACCTCCCACAAATAAAGTCTGTTCCTTTTAGCTGTCAACTGTGACCACCCTGTCCCCAGCTTTAGGCACCTCTCACTAATCTACATATGTTTTCTCATTCTAGACATCTCATATAAACAGAATCATACATTTGGTATTCAATGGCTAGCAGCTTTCACCTGACAGACATTGTCAAGGTTCATTCATGTTAGTGTGAAATATTCTGTCTTTCTAGAGCAGTGGTTCTCAACCTTCCTAATGCTTTGACTCTTTAATACAGTTTGAGTGACCCCCAACCACAAATTTATCTTTGTAACTACTTCATAAATGATGTAATTTTGCTACTGTAATGGATCCTAATGTAAAATCTGTGTTTTCCACTGGTCTTAGGTGACCCCTATGAAAGGGTCGTTTGACCCTCCAGAGGTCATGGCCCACAGGTTGAGAACAGCTGCTCTGGAGCTTGCTAATAATTTCAGGCTCACAGTGGAAACTAAATAAATTTCAGGCTATTACCTTCTCTTGTGAAGCTGTCGTAGGGGTTCTATTGCTGAGATAAAACAGCATGACCAAAAACCAGTTGGGGAGGAAAGAGTTTATTTCAGTTTACAATTCCACAACACAGTCAGTCAGTCAGGACAGGAACTCAAACAGGACAGGAACCTACATGAAGGACTGATACAGAGGCCTTGGAGAAGTGTTTACTCACTTGTTCCCTATGGCTTGCTCATTTCTTTCCTTATATCATTTAGGATGGTGGGTAGGCACCACCTCCAGTGAGCTGTGCTCACCCACATCAATTGTGAATCAAGAAAATGCAGTACAGATTTACCAGAGATCTTATAGGGACATTTTCTCTACTGAGAATTCGAAAGGATTCTAGCTTGTGTCAAGCTAACAAAACTAAGGAGGACAGTGGGGCCAGTAGCACTTAGTGGACAGTATTTAAGATCTTTATTTTTGAGCTGGGCATGGTGGAGCCAATTGCAGAACTGAGGAGGCAGACAGAGGCAGGTGGATATGTGAGTTTGAGGCCAACCTGGTCTGTATAGGGAGTTCCAGAGCAGCCAGGACTAGTCAGACCCTGTCTCAGAAAGAGTGCTTGCTACTCCTGTGCAGGACTAGAGTTCCCAGGAGACATGACATATGCTTCTGACCTCCAGGGTGCACACATATGAATGAAAACCAATCTTTTAATTATTTTATGTATATGGGGGTTTTGCCTGTATGTATGTCTGTGCCACACAAGTGTGCCTGGTACCTGAGACAGCAAGAAGAGGGTGTCAGATACCCTGGAGCTGGAGTTACAGGTGTTTGTAAGCTCTCATGTGAGCGCTGGGAATTGAACCTGAGTGTCCTGGAAGAGTGGTCAGTGCTCTTAACTTTTTTTTTTGTCTTTTGAGACAGGGTTTCTCTGTGTGACAGCTCTGGCTGTCCTGGCTGTCCTCGAACTCATAGACATCCTCCTGCCTCTGCCTCCGGAGTGCTGAGATTAAAGTTGTGCGCCACTACCGCCGGGCGTGTTCTTCTAAGCAATCTATCTCCAACTCCTGAAAATAAATCTTGTCTGTTTGAGATAGGGTTTCTCTATGTAGCCCTGGCTGTCCTGGAACTCACTCTGTAGACCAAGCTGGCCTTGAACTCAGAAATCTGCCTGCCTCTGCCTCCTGAGTGCTGGGATTAAAGGCGTGAGCCACCCACCACACCTAGTTCTGAAAATAAATCTTAAAAAAAAAAAAGAAAAAGGAACCGAGGTTGTATTCTCCTGATTTTGTTTGTATGTGGCGTAAGAGCTTGATTTCCTACAGCTATGCCAGGCTTGAGAAGATAATTTTAAAAAACTGCTGGAAGAAATCACATTTGCTAGCACACTTACATCTGTCCTCATTTTGAAAGTGTATGGACAAGACTTTAGAGTCGTAGCTTATGCCAAAGTGGCTCTGCCTTTGACAACTGTGACTTAACAGCATGGGAGAAAAGAATAGTAAATAGACCTGTGAGCTACAAGTGATATATTAATGTGACAGTGTCTCTCTAGTGACCTAGGAAAATTCTGAGATCCAATCCTAAAAGCACACCATAAATTCCTGTGCTCTTTGAACACAGAGAATTTGTGTGTTTTAAATCCTGTCACATAAAAGCTTATTACTTGACAGTGAGGGAAAGAGGTCCCTGTGACTTCTCTCCAGAGGCCCAGGTAGCAGACTTCCCACTGTCCAGAAGGACTGTATTCTTCCCTCTCTGCAACTTGAAGATGTCAACATAGAGAGAGGCACCTGTCTAGCCATTTTCTTTACCAGTCTTGTCTGCCACTGTCAAGGCTTTACAGTTTATATATATATATATATATTTTTGGTTTTTCGAGACCGGGTTTCTCTGTGTAGCTTTGCGCCTTTCCTGGAACTCACTTGGTAGTCCAGGCTGGCCTTGAACTCACAGAGATCCGCCTGGCTCTGCCTCCCAAGTGCTGGGATTAAAGGCGTGCGCCACCACCGCCCGGCTTTACAGTTTAAAGAAAGAGGGTGGGAGTTGCCATTTAAAGATGGAATGACGTGGAAACTCAGCTGTGGCTAAATGTGGCAATCAGTGCTGGCTCTACTGCCCAGGTAACTGAGGTCTCCCTCAGTTCTCCATTCAGCGAGATGCAAAAACAGAGGCTGAAGGCATTGACATGACTTTACAACAGTCTTAAATTTATTGCTGGTTTATAAAATCTACAACAAACCCGGGCCTCACTAGCCTGTCATCCCAACTATTCCTAAGGACATAATGTTATGAATTATGCACGCAGGGGACCCAAGGCTGGCCAGACCAGGGTATCCCATGTCTGAGGGAAAATGTGCTGGGCAGATGCAGCAGGGGCGGCAGCTGGTGGAAAGTCATTCACACCCAGGCGCTGCATCCACGTGGAGAGTTTATTATAATAGATGAAGAGAAAGATAGGGAAGAGAGACAAGGAAGAAGGAGAAGGGAGAGAAAGCGGAGGTGTGCACACCTCGTGGGGATGGGGGGAGAGAGGGAGACAGGAAGAGAAGGAGAGGGAGAGGGGAGAGAGAAGAGGAAAGTGGAGGAGAGGGGAGGGGGAGGGAGAGAGGAGATAGGAGGGGGAGGGGAGAGAGGGGGGAGGGGTTTTCCTTTATCTTAGGATGCAGGGTGGCTCCAAGGGGCGGGTCAGAATACTAACACATAAGATCCACCCCCAGAATAGTCACAGAATGGTTTTACTTTTTTTTTTTTTTTTTTTTTTTTTTTTAAGGAATCTAAAAACACAAATACCCACAAAGAACCCACAAGGAACATGGTGACCTATAGTCTCAGCACTTGGGAGGCAATAAGATCGACGCAGGTTCAAGTTCAGCCTGGGCTACATAGTTTCAGGTCATTCTAGGCTACAGAGTGAAACCCTGTTTCAAACAAAGCAAAACAAACCCGAAAGGCATAAAAAAGAAACTGACTACCTCTGATTTCATTTCTATGTTGTTCAGGGTCCCTTAATGAAGACAATCATCTTTAGTAATACTTATGTGTGAAATTTTCTGTGGGGTGTGTGTAGGACAGTGCTAGACGCGGGAATTGTTTTTTTTTTACACCCCCCCCCCCCCCCGGAGCTATTTCGGCTAGATCAGCTGGCCACCCAGTCCCCAGGATCCCGGGAACTCACTGTGAGGACCAATCTGGCCTCTAACTTGAGGAATCCTTCCGCTTCAGCTTCCCAAGTGCGGGTTTTCCAGACAGGGCCCACCACGCTTTGTCTTTAGTTTTGTGGGTGAGGATACCTAAGAACGTTACAGAACGGCGGCAAATGTAAAGTAGGGCTGACTGTGCCTGGACTGGAGATCTGAGGAGCACTAACTAGGTCCTAAACACCTAGAGCTAGTCTTGACAAGTTGGATCTAACTGTATGCAATCTTCATTTGGAAAACGGGGAGAGGAGGTAGGTGGGAAGGACTCTCGGAAAGGGAAAGCACCAGAGACAAAGCAACTCGATCTGGTCTTGTTCCTCTGATTACGAAGACATTGCAGTCACTTCATTTTCTCTGTGAGAAACTCCCAGGGAACCTGGAAAGCCCCGCCAGAACCGAGCTTCACAGTAAGGCGACTCCATGGCAGCCTGGAGGCGGGGCGGTCTGTTGCTCCCGCCCCTTTCCCCCGAATTCCGACAGCGATTGGTCGAGAGCGCGGCGAGCGGCGAATCCGGGGCGGGGCACGGGCAGGCTTCTCCGCCATCTTGGGCTGTGCGAGCCGCCCGGACGTTCCGGGCCGTTCCGCTGGACACGGGGCTCCGGCGAGGGTCAGGTTGGAGCCGGGAGGCGTCGGGAGCAGCGGCGGCGGGGGCAGGATGAGCGCGGAGGCGGCGGACCGGGAGGCGGCCACCTCCAGCCGGCCCTGCACCCCGCCGCAGACCTGCTGGTTCGAGTTCCTGCTGGAGGAGTCGCTGTTGGAGAAGCATCTGCGCAAAGCCTGCCCGGGTAAGCGGGCTCCGGCGGGCGGCGGGCGGCGGGCGGGCGTGGTCGGCCACCCCGCTGCTCCCGGTCCCCGACCGCTGCGGCCTGGCAGGCGCGACTGAGCCCACCTGGACCGTGCCCGGACCGCGGGCGTCGCCGCGGAGAGTCTGAGAAAAGGTCCAGACAAAAGCTTTCCCGTCTGCCGCGATCCTCACAGCGTGGGGCGCCGACACCTGCCACGCGGGGTCCGGGTCGCTGGAGTCGCACGGCCCCGGGGCTGGCTCCGGGAGGGGAGAGCGGGAGAAGCCAGCCGCTCCGTGCTCCGGAGCTTGCAGCCAGCCCCAGCCTTAGGTTTTGTTTACTCGGGCAGGGCATTGTGTACTTCACTGTTGGACCCCGAATTAAAATAAAATCCCCCAAAGCAGGAACT